TGGGCTTTAGAGTGACGACAGAACTACACTGACTACACACAGCACGCAGGGCCACCCCCCCACACACTCACCCCCCCCCCCCCCCCCCCCCCCCCTCCCCTCACCAGCCAACACTCAGCACCCAAGAGATAGAAATATTCATTAAAACTTTCCTGTTTTAGAGGACGGCGATGAAGGAGACAGCGACAACGAAGATATCGAGGGCGATAAATCAAAGGAGGACAAGCAGGAACTGGAGATCAAGCCCAATTCCACCACCAACAAGGCCATACTTGAGAATCCCAACATAGACAATCCCTACTTGCGGGCCGCCACCCTGCCCAAGCGCACCAAGCTCACGGCCTCACCGGCCACAGTGCCACCGCCCCGCAGTCTGTCCAGAGGACCTTCCACCCTGGCAATAACCAAAACTGCTTCCTAGGACTTAGACTAAACAAATTAAAATGTAGATATAAATCTCTTGAAATAACTAACTGCAGGTAATATTTTCGGCGGTTCAACTCAAATTATCGCTTGTTCTCATCGATTGTATCAAAACATTGATGAAATCGATGTTCCGCCGTTTCGCAACACCAATTCTACGTGCGGCACAAACTGGTGAAATTAAAATGAAAGTTATTTTTAACAAAAGATGTCTCCTCCCAAACAACAGAGCACTGTGCAGTTGGGCAAAAAACTCTCGTGGCTGCTGCGGCACGGAGCTGTCGAAGAAGGTATTGCAATCCAAGCAGATGGCTACGTGAGTGTCTCGGAGATACAATCACATCCACGCTACGCGCCCTTTAGTCTTCAAAAGTTGCAAGAAATTGTAGCTGGCGATGCTAAGCAGCGTTATACCCTGCGCTGGAATGAGGAGCGCAAATGCCATGAGATACGTGCCAACCAGGGACACTCGTTGGCATCGGTGCAGGGCGAAGCGTGTCTGGAGCGTATTCTGGATGCCGAGCAGGTTCCTCTCGCTGTTCACGGCACTTACTACAGGTGTTGGGACGCAATCAAATCGAAAGGACTGTGCCGCATGCAGCGGAACTATGTGCACTTTGCGGTCAGCGATGTGGGGCAGACTCTGAGTGGCTTCCGCAGCGATAGTCAAGTGTTGGTCTACTTGGATGTGGCAAAAGTGTTGGCCGACCATCTGCCGCTCTTCCGCTCCAGCAACAACGTGATACTCTGCCCTGGCGTCGATGGCTTCATCGACAAGACGTACTTTAGCCGTGCTGTGGACAGACGGACTGGCAAAGAATTGACTTACTGATTACATAGAAACTTCATAATTAGCTTTAATATTCGTACATTTCTGCATTGTTGTTTTATTTTAAATACATTACACACAAACCGAAAATAATTTGTTTGCTTTTCACTTTCAGCAGAACAGAAGACTCCAGTGTGTCTCATACGCCGGCCGTTAATTTTCGTATGTTTATTTATGTATTTTCAATTAAGAATTAATTGCTAATAATGGAATATGGAATAGGAATAAATATAAATTAAATATAAGTACAGGAGAGGAAGGTACGATACAATTTGCAAATTTGTTAAAATAAGGTGATGGTTGGTAGATTAAATAATTATAATTTATATTTTCTGGGCGTAATTACACCTGCATATGGGTAACCGGAGGGAGCCTTGTCCTATGTCCTATAATATAGCCTTGCCGATCCCTGTTCTGGAGGAAACTGTAAAATTTATCTGTCCCAAAAGCGATGGTGTAAAGAGGTCCACTAGTTTTAGCCTAGATCGGTATGGTGGAAAGAGTCTGTCAGAGTCCCAGTTCAGATTTCTATTTTTAGGGATTTTGGCCCCAATTATGTTGTAAAGATAGAAGAACTGCACCGTTCCCGTTCCCTCTCCCTTTCAGAAAAATAATAGAATTTCTTATCTCTTTGCTTGCGCGCGCTATTTTTCAAACATTTGTATGATATCAGCTAACATACATGTGTCTCTACATGTTACATACACCTAAATACTGTATACAAAGCTTCTTTGCTTCCAGAAGGGTTGATTTGAATATTTGACTTTGTAAAATATATGGTCATAAGGTAAACAAACCAATAAAAATTAGTATTTAAAATACTTCAAAATGATTCTTCAAACGGATTAATTTATTGTTTCATTGTTAAAAGTCTTTGCACGCTGGTAATATCAACTAGAGCATAAAAATCGAGGACAATATTTTAAGATTCACTGCTTCGCACGTTTTAAAGGTAGGGTTGACAAATACTTAAAAAATATCATATCGGTGATGAATTTTGCTTGGACAAAATATTAAAATAATATAAAATATATCACTGCAAAAATATCGATATATTTGATATATTTTTTGCTTGTATATATTTGCTAAAATGAATTTCCATGCGCATCGGAAATGAATAACTACTATATAGGAAACTTATATATTTTTTTACATCTTTAATCCCTATTTCACTTTTCTGTGTGTTTTAATTTGACTTATTCAACTATTCGTGCATAATTCTTTTGAGTAAGTGTTTATGGTTTTTGGTTCCAGACACCCACTTATTCCACTTTTGTGCAAAAATACAAATACCCTATATATTTATTTCATAATAAGGATCATTCCTGTGGTTAGTTACGGAACTTAAAATATTAAAAAATATCGCATAAATATATTGATATTTTGTCTAAAAATATCACGATATAAATATATATATATATGTTTTTTAAATATCGATATATTGATATGTTGATATATATTTGACAACTCTACTTGTATGCGGACGATAGTTTCGTTTCACTTACACTTACTGCGCAGAACCCTTTCACTCGCACTCGCAACATCAATGAGAAACGGGCCCGATAATTCATGCATCTAATCAGAGTGCATTGATTCCGTTCTAATCATGCCGGTGGTGGATCTAAAAGTGGATCGGAGGAAAGAGCAATGATTAGCAGCGTCTCTGGCTGCAAGCGCATCCACAGCATCGAGGTTGAGCAACTACAGGACTCTGAGGAGGTGCAACATAGTTTTCTGCTGATCAAGGGCCGGCTGCAACCCAAGTGCGCCGCGGCCAAGCAGCTAAAGGCGACCCTCGAGTTGTGTGACGAGCAGTCGCAGTCGGCGTCGCAGTTGCAGTTGCAACCGAGGTCGCAGTCTCAGTCGCTAGAACAGCTGACTCAATTGTCCAGCGCTGGGGAGTTCAAGTTGCTCTTTGATTTGCACGTTCAACAGGACAAGGAGGAGGTGCCGGCAGTGACGTCGAGAGCCTGCCGCCTGCAGCTGCGCTCTTGCAGCGGCTCAAGGCTGATACGATTCACCTACAAGCCACGGAGCAGCCACTACCGAGTGCAACCGCTGTACATAGTATGCCAGGACGAAAAGGAGGAGGAAGCTAGTGTTTCACGCTGCTCACTCATCGATCTCAATCTGCGACTCGTGCAGTGCATTTACGCGCACAAATTGCATGCCGCAGGCTTTGCCAATCGCACATTTACGCTCAACGGACCCTGCCGACGCTTCTGCAGCCAACTGACCACCGAAGAGACGCTTGCCAAGAGTGAGGACGAGCTGTGGCAGCATTTTGCTGGCGAAATACTCGCCTGTGAGCAGTGGGGCCAGCAGCTGCACTTGAAGTTCGTTGCATTTGTGGCCTGCACGCGGTACGACGGCTCAGCAGTAGCGGCCAGCGGGGATCATTCCTACGCGAACATCCGACGTCACCTGCGCGGCCACGCCGCATTGGGAGGCGGTGGATTGGCATTGTTTGGCAGCGCACACTTCTACGCGTGGCCGCGCACCTTCTCGGAGATCGGCGACTGTGTGCGAAGCGCGGAGCGTGTGGACGTTGCACGGCTGCCTGACGAGAGCAATTATCGACGCACCTACGGCGGCGTCTATGCCAGCACTCTGGGCGCCGTCTGTCACGAGCTGGGCCATTGCTTTGATCTCGGGCACACGCTGGACGGTGTAATGGGCCACGGGTTTGATTATCTCAATCGCGTACTCACCGTTGACCAGGCCACCGAGCATTTGCCGCAGCGCATCGTAGATCAGTCGTCGTCCACAGCAGGCGCCCACACCCACAGCCACACCCGCAGTCGTCTCACGCAGCTAAAGCTTAAGCAGCCAAGCAGCCAGCTGCTGGATAATTATCACGGCCAACGTCGCAACGATAGCTTCTACTTTGCCCGCAATTGTGCTGTGATCCTCGCCCATCATCGCTGGCTAAACCCGCAGCCGCAGCCAGTCCCCATCAACACAGAGTCGTTGGCCATTTATCTGTCAAGGGCTAGCCGCGAGATTGTATCCACCACACCGCTGCGTCTCGTCGAGCTGCGCTGCAATCGCAACAGCCTGGTGGCCCACTACGAGGAGCTCAGCGCCAACGTTCAGCAGGTGGAGCATCGCTTTCAGCTGCCAGCAGCCTTGTGGCATCTTGTGGCTGACCAGCGCACGCATTACGTCTTTGTGCTGACGACAAACGGAGACACGAAGCGTTTGGCCTGCGACGACGAGCATTAGGTGAGTCCACAGCATGCAGCGAAGGAGGCAGCCAAAGGCAGCAAAATAAAGGCAGGGAATCGACACAAAATATGGGAACCAACACCGCTGGCTGTCGGCAATTTAGGGACCCTTTTCTGTATGAGAATTATTGTCTGTGGCTGTGCCAGGAGCAGGGCGCAGGCAGCGCACTAAAACCATTTATTAGCATAGCTAATGGATGTCAATTTTGTGAACTATTAAATGTAATTAGAATACGGACTGCCTGCAGCAGGACAGCAGCAGCTAATTAAAATGGGTATGAGCAAAATGCAGCATATTTATTGTAGAATAAAAAATATATAGAGGACAAGGCAGACCAGAGAGAGACTCCACCAAGTGTAATCCTGTGCGGGAGATTGAGGAAATTCTTTAATTTATCAATTAAATCCATGAAGCAAAGTCTCCGCAGACATGATCAATCCTTGAGCCTTAACTAATTGAAAATGAAGAGTAGGATTTTAGGACGAAATTGCGACAAAAGGCAGGCCTTCCTCATGCTTCGACTTCTTGCAATAAACACACAAAAAGTTGTTCAATCTTTTATAATATTCAGCCGCAGATGTGCACTAAAATGAAGGCGATTTGCAAGAAAGTTGCAGCACTTTTTAAAGGATTTTGATGGTTCCTGATGGTAAATTGGAAGTACTTGAAGTTATGCCAACTGAAAGTTGAAGTTTTCTGCCAGTTTTAGTTGAAGAAACATTTTAAATTGTTGGCAAACTTCAACTTTGAGTCGCCATATCTTCAAGTACAAAGCATCAAAAATCCTGTGCAAAGTGTTACAATTTTCAATCAGTTTTAATGTTTTATGCAGTTTTAAAATAGATTTTTGGGTGTTTTTGCCAGTTTTAAGTATGAGGTACTTGCACTCATCGAGTACATTCAAAAAGGTTCTAGATTCGGGATTCTAGATTTTTAATTTATAGTTTATAATCTGCACAGTTTATTGCACATGGCAAAACAACATAAAAGGGAGAATCTTTTAACTGACTCTTCGATTCATCAGCACACAGACCTCACCTCATTGCACTTGACATTCAGTTCAATCAATTCCAGGATTCAGCTGCATTTTGGTTCGTAATTCAAGTCATTTCAAGCTGCTGTCTAGCTGAGAGCTGAGGCCCGGGAGACCCCTTTATAAATGAGACTTAAGACTGCAGAAAGACTCTTCCAGACTGTTTCCAAGATCAATGCAGTTGAGACACAAACTCCGGACACAGCGTCTCACAATTGGCAGAGATAATGATCCAAAGTTGGCCTCACAACAGGCCAAAGTGTGTCCATCGTTGGTCTCCAATGGAATGCCAGTTGGATGTTTATTTAGTTCAATAAATTCACCCTGCAAATAACAAATGCAAAGGCCAAGAGTGGGACTGCCCTTGTTTAGACAGAATTATGTTTAGATAAGCCAGAGAGCCAAGAGCTTTGGGTGCCTGATGAACACCCTGATCCCAGAGCTTCCCCATCTGTGATCTTTCTGCTGTATCGAGAGTGAGGCAGGATTATGATTTTTGGGGGTGGCACTTTAGGTGCGAATTTAACCAAATTGAAACTCTTCCCACAGAAATGTCTGGATCGCAACGCAAAATAAGACGCGCCGAGGAGCCACAGCAGGAGGCGCAACAGGGCCACGATGCGGGGAATGAGGATGTGCACATGCGAACGCTGGACGCCGCGGAGAGAGGTGGCAGAGCGGCGGAGAGAGGCGGCAGAGTGGCAGACAGAGGCGGCAGAGCCGCTGCACATCCGCGACTGCCCATACCGGACCTGGCCGATCCACTGCCAAGTGCCGAGCATCTATGGGCCGCTTTGGCCATACCCGAGCCGGATGAGGCGCTGGGCGATCGTGTGGCGCCGCCGCCGCCGCCGCCAGCTACAGCGGAAAAGGAATCGAACAACGAGAATAAACCCGCACGCAAGGCGCCACGCTATCCCATGCTGCTGCCCTGGGACGAACAGAGCTGGTCGACGGGCTCCAATCCGGACAATGATACGGAAGAACTGACGCCACCGCGGCCACCCACACCCATGCCCTGGGAGGAGGAGAGCGTGTCCACCGATCCGAATATGGAGCAAAATTGGGCATTCGTTGAGGATCTGGCGGATTTGGAGGAGCTCGAGGAGCCTGCGGAGCCCACTGGCTCGTTGGCGCTGACGCCCGAGTCGCAGCCACCGACACCGCCGGCCGCCGCCTGTCCCATGCAGGAGGACATTGACACGCCCAGCGTCACGCCGTGTCCATCGCCAGAGCCAGAGAGTCCGCTGGATGCGACTGCATGGGATGAGAGCGAAACGAGCAGCGGCGGCGGCAACTCGAGTCATGGCTGCTGTCAGTCCGTGTCCATTGGCACGCGGTCCGTGGTGGCCAAGGCCACAACCGGCCTGGGCAGCTACCCGGATCAGGGCGAACGGCAGAGCACCTCCGCAGCTGTGCGGCAATGGCTGCGCTATCAGAGTGAGACGAGCAGCTCGGCGTCCACGCCGGAGCGCGCGTTGGCATTGGCCATTGGATTTCCGAGTGCTTACCCCGCCCTGGACGAGGGACCGAGCACCTCCGCCGCGGCGCGTGCGTGGCTGCAGCAGCAACGGGGAACTAGTCACCCCATTCCTTATGTTGGCTACCACATGCCGAGTCTCTCGCCTATGCAGGAGGTTCCCATGCAGCCGCTGGTCATCATGGTGGACCCCGAGGAGACGGGCATCCTGTCACGGCCACCAACATCGCCGCCGCCGGGCTGGGAGGAGGCGCCGGACCACTGGCGCGTGCGCATCGACAACCGCCATCTGCCGCATCGCCTCATCCAACATGTGGTGGGGCAGGAGCGTGAGGGGCGCAATTCGCATCGAAGTTTTCTGTACAATGCCAACGGCATACTCTTCCGTGTGCGCTTCAATAAGCGCAATGAGGTGACCATAAGTCTGCGTTCCCCCATCTAGGGTGGAGGGAGCAAACGTTTTTTCGGCCCAGCCCCTGCAACCGGCAGCAGTGGGGCAGCACAACAATCCAAAAGAATATTGTAACCAGAAGAGGCCGAAGGAAGCTGAAGATCTCGCCAAGAAGAGCTCAACAAACCAGCGGGCAGCAAGAGGTTGGAAGTGGCAGTGGCAGTGGCAAATGGAGAGGGAAAGGGACTGGCAGTGGACGTGGCAAAGGATTGGCAATGGACGTGGCTTTGGACTAGCATTGGCAGCGGAGTAATAGTGGCAGCGAAACAACCTAAACACACACGGAATATGCCTGCCCAAAGGCAGGAACACCCTGCACGTGTGGTCGAGGATTTGGCAGGTGAGCTGAGCAGGCCAAGGGCTAGAACACAGGAGAAACCAACACAACACAACCCACATTGAAATCCTCTCGATACAATAACATACACATGACAGCGGACAGCAGAAAGCCATCAATGAATCATGTGCCCACAGGCCTTAGCTAGATAGCAGCTAGATCCTGGACTTTTCCATTATATACACGCCTGTCCAATGCCAAATTCTATATGAAATTCTCTGCAGAGCAGTGTTAGGAATTATTTTCAGTTAGAACAGGTTTCAGGTCCGTTACTCTCACCGCAAGGTGTCAGGTGTCAATGGTTTTGATTAGAGCTGCAGTTGAACCCTCAGCTAAATAAGGATAAGGTAACGATGCCAGAGGTTTTAGAGATGGGTTTCAAGCACAGTCAATGTCTATGAGGACTGCCCTTTGAAGTCCCTAAACTTGGCCACAAATCACGCTCAAAATAAATAACTTTGGGAATTTTGTACGACTTCCGGCGTGGATGTAGACCGAAAATCGTGAGGGTCATTAAACTGCGGTTCTTGTACCCAAAGATAAGAATGCTGTGCGGGCTGGGTAGTGCGTTCGATGTAGACATATTTGGCGATCAAAAAGGTTGAAAAAGGTTTTTCTCGTGTTAGTTTAAAACTTTTCAAAATTGGTTTTCAGCTTACTTGAGAATACTTTCTGTAAGCAATAAGAACCATTTTCCATCTCATTTGGTTGGTACTTCGCTGCTGAAGAGACAACCTACTTTTATAGAGAACAGAAACAGGTGCAAATGTCTTTGACTGTACCATTTTAGCTGATGTTACGAACAGTTTTTCTAGGAACATCGGGCAGAAGTTCACAGCTGAAGTCTCTCAATGGGAATGTCCTTGAACTCGAAGTCCTCCTAAACAAACAAAAATGACGCAGAAAAGAACGTTCATAAAAAGTTGCGAAGTTTGAGTTTACATACTTAATCGGATAATTGGGGAAAGTGCATGGGGATTACGTGGACCGTGGGAACCACACCGCTGGCAAGCAAAACAAACGCAATGCCAAGGCAATTTTGTGCTCGCACTTTTCGATGGGGCAAAACCATTGGCAGCAAGGGAGAAGCGACAGACGATGGTTGCATAGGTTCAAGATTTATTAATTTATGATTCATTTCTGCATTTTGTTTATAAAGTTTCTAGCTAGGTAACTGGATGACCCATTTGATTTCTGACTGAAATGTTCCGATCTGTTCAAGACTCCCCAACCTCGTATATACGTTCATTTCTTTTAATTCTGCAAATTCTGTTTTTTTTTGTGTGTTTTAAAAATTGTATATGCCACAGAGTTTTTGCATCCTTTGGGGGGAGGGTAGGGTGTTCCTTATAGTCTCAGTATTAAACATCAAACAAGACAAACTGACGGATGGACGACTGGCTATAAGCGTTGATGCTGATCTCCTCAAGTAACGCGTATAAAAATCCATAATGGATCGTGATATATCAAAAAACAGTTTCTTGAATAAAATATAAAAATGTTGTTGCTTTAAAATTGACGATCTCGAAATTCTTCTTCCATTCCATTTTATTTTTATTATTTATTTTTTAATAAACTTAAATTATTTAAAATGTTTCAATTTATTTATGTATATTATTAATTTTTTTCTAGACGTGTTTTAATTTGTTTAAACATTTTTGTTTTTTAAATAATTTAAATTAGTTGTTTTTATATTTATTTATTTTATTTTAAAATTGACAGACAGTCAACTTGTAAGCTTGTCTTTGGAAAATAGTGATAGTGAGTTGCTGATCAATGCTTCCCAAACCGCGTTGCTTTACATAAAAACTCACAAACTGCTCTCTCCATATTGAACTAGAAAAAATTAACACTTCACTACGAAAAGGAGCGCTAATAGCAGTAGTTTACAAGCAAAAGAAAAGCAATTCAAAGCCAGAAGATACATTTTCGATTGAACAAATTGACAATTAAAGTGAATCGTAAACTTTTCCAGCGAGCGGTGCTCCAAAACTGTTTTGCCAATGGCATGAAGCAACTATATAAGGAGGTCTCGTCCGCAAAGGTTAGGGAGCGTAACAATGCTGTCAATAAGTGCGAGTGAAAGGGCTCTCGCTGTAAGTGTCAGTGAAACGACAATGGAGTGAGCGCCCAACCTTCCGCGTCGACAAGCAAACTAGCACTGAAAATTAGGAGGAGACCTTCTTATATAGTTGCTTCATGGACTTTGAGCAGGTTTAGCTGCGCCGCTGCTTCGTGTGCTTTGGCTGCCTTCAGCTGATCGCTGTCGTTAGTTGAGCCGGAGCTTACTCTCTCTCTGGGACAACGGACGGCCTTCATAGTGCGCAAGGTTTTGGCGTGAAAGGTGAGGCAGTACTACAAATCGCTCACTTAACAGGTCGTCAAATGTTTTTTAATACAAGTGCACGAGCGTGTTACACACAGACAAGTGCTACTCGCAAAGCGGGAGAGCAAGCCTGGGTCACAGCCGCATCATGAGAAAAGGGTTACGGCTACTGAGAGGCGCACTCTCCCACAGCGTCACTGCCAGCCAGCGTCTTGGGTTTTGGTCTTAGCCTACGCGGCAAACTTGTATTCAATTCGTTCGCACTATCGACGACGCAGCAGAGCAGCGGACACCAGCAGCGTAGCGAGCAGAGGGAACGGAACGGAACGGAACGTAACGAAAGCAACCGAACGGGGTTCAATAGTGAAAATAGATTTCGTAGTTTAGGCACAGGCAGAGGCGCAGGGCAGGTGCGCTGCTTTGGCTGATAAGATAACCAATTGATGTCCAGAAAAGCAAACACTGCTTGAAGCATTGATTCATTCTATTTTCATTTTCGTTTTCGTTTTGTCAATTTCCATTTCATTTGCCTTGCAGACGCAGAACCGAAAGCAGCAAGAGACCAAGCAGCAGCACTACCATGAACTCATCATCGGCACGCATTCAATTCAAGGCGCTGAAGGGATTTCCGGGCAATGCCGCCGATAAGATCGAAACTCGAGCGTTTCTCGACGCCGCCCTAGAGATAGTGACAGTTATAGGTGAAACCAGAGTAAAAGACACAAAAAAAAAACGAGATACAACTTATTTACATTCTTAATTTATTCATCTTTTTTTTTGTTGATGGCAGAGAGCTTTGGCAAGTTATTTACGCCCGTGATTAACGACATGAATGGAAATATAAATGTAAGTGTAACTCCCTCCCCCTTCCTCCACCATCATCGTTTGTTTTATTTTGTGTTAGAAATTAAGCAAAGTTTACGGCGAGAATGTGCTGAAACATCATTATCTGGAGGATATGATCTTACTCAATATGAAGGCCGAGAACGTGGCACCCAATGCACTGCTTTGGCTGAAGCGCGGCCTGCTGTTGATCTGCATTTTCTTTGAGAACATTTACAACGATGCCCAGCGACAGGAGCCGCTCAAGCTGCATCTGCAGAATGCCTACGAGCGCACACTGAAGCCCTATCATGGCTTCATAGTGCAGAGCACGATTAAGGTGAGTCAGCGGAGGAAAATACCATACACTTAGACAGCTAATGATTGGTCTTTGCAGATCATTTACGCCTGGGTGCCCACACGCAGTCAGCTGATTGGACAGGGTGAGGATCAGGAGGAGAATCTTGTTGTGTTGGCCGATTACTTGCCCACCATGCGGGCACAAATGGACAAGATCGATGCCCTGCTCAAGGCACACAATCTAGACGAGGTTCCGCGCTAAATGGATGGCTTCATGGCTTAATGGAAATATCAGTCAATAGTCAATAGTTGCATCCTAGCTTGTAGCTTACTTTTATTTTATTTCGTATTGGAGGGAGGCCTCAATAAACCTCAGAAGCTTAGGCCACGAGCGGCATCCTCCGCTGCTTCTCCTTTCTGCGATGCTCCCTGAAATCCGCCAGCTGTTGATTCGTCTCAATCATCTCGAGGCGTATGTTGTGGCACAGAATTGCAATTACCTCGAGGCCTATCAGCACCAGCACCGCATAGGACATGTAGTGCGGCCAGAGGTAAAGGCTGTCCACTGCCAGAGATAGGCGCAGGTAGACCATGGACGGAAACAGCACACACGGCGTCACTGTCAATAGCAGCCACATGGAGGCATGTTCTGGTCGCAGATTCACCACAAAAGCACCATACAAACGCACCGTCTCCGAGCCCATGGCCAGCACATAGGCGACCAGTATGGCCGCCGTATCCAAGCTCCACAGCTCGTCCATCTGCAAAGGGAATTTTCGTTGAGTTGTGCTGAAGCGTACTGGCCCCAAACTTACCTGTATGAAAATGTGTAATAAATAGTTGAGGCCCCACAATGCGGACACATAAACATTCGCCTCAAGCAGCATTTGAAGCACCAGACAGGACTGCAGTTCAACGGCTTGAAACATTTTAGCAGACAGCAAAATTCGGCAGGAACGGAACTTACTTTGAGCTTCGCTTTTAGACTGCTTGACAGCTGGCCTACTCTTTCTTTTTAGAGCTCCTCCGTCCGAGTGCCATGTATGTAGAACGTTATTTTCATGAAATTTCCATTTGTTGTCGCTTGCCAGAGTTGCCAGGGCTACCAGGGGTGACTGCCCAGAAGCCGCCTGCTGCAGCACGCGGCTGAGTCATCGATTAGAGTGTGGCTTAAAGAGGGGAAGAAAACATACAACGTTCACGCACAAAGGACAGCACACTAAAACCACTCGGACAACAAGCCAATATAAGCCTTAATGACTCCAACAAAGCCACGCTTACACCACGTCCATTATCGTAAAATTTCATGGCCACAAACTGATCTCAGAATTGCATCTACAAATCGAAATCTCTAAACGAATTTTTGCCCACAAATCCCCCAAAAAGTAGTTTGTAAGCCAACAAGGCCACATGATGGGCTATAAAGATGTCTTTAGGCTATAAGAATTCATTGCTGTCGTTTGTAATTGGAAAATAAATTATATGTTCCTAGCTAAACACTGCGCCAAGGGAGCTTTCAACAGTTGTAGCGTTGGGAAGAGCGTTTCAGTTTCAATTACAGAGATTAAATGCGTTGATGAAGGATAATGCTGCAGCCATTAGTGCGGCACACTCGTATTGATGGCCGACTCCAGTGCGGTAACTGTAAAATAACGAAAGAAACATTCAATAAAAACCAACCAATAATCCTCTGCGTTCCCTCACTCTACTTACGATAACTATGATCATGCTTGTATACCAAATTATTGAGTATTTCCGCCAGCGTTTGATGGCAGCGTATGTAAGTCATTTCAATTTCCACAACCTGATTGAGCGCCAAGTACTGCAGACACTTGGCATTGCCCTCGTCATCGCCATCGCCATCGCTGGACACATCGAGCGCGAGTGGATGCGCATCGGCCAGGTAGCTGGAGCAGCTGGTCCATTCCATGTCCAGCACAAATACCAAATGAAAGAGCTGCTCGAGGGCAATGCGAAAGGCGGCAGCCTCATCGTTCAGCAGACAGTGTCTGGACAACTGACGCATGTATTGCTCATGCAGCGTGCTCAGCTCACGGAGGTTGCGGCACTTGTCTATTTGTGGCTCAAACTGTTGGCTCACCACCTGCATAATGTGCGTGTGCAGACTGTTGTTCAGATACATTAGCCAGAAGCGAAGAATCTCCAGGCGGCGCACGGTGAGGCCGAGCAGATCCAACGGCGCGTATATGTCCCGTCGTGGACGTCGAATGAAAACCATATTCTCCAGCTTCCAGGCGGCCCACTTGACCTTGAGCATCAAGCGCCACACGGAGTTGTAGGTCTGCAAATTCCCTGGCGTCACAATCCGTTGCACATGCTCGAACAAATCAAACTCCAGCTCGATGGCCTCCACAGCCTCGTACACCTTGGAGGAGCTAGCGCGCATGTGGGAAATAATTTTAACAATGGCGCGTCCCGCCATATCCGCATAGTGTGGCAACAGCAGATCGTACAGCTCCATGTTAAGCAGCGGCACTTGGGCCCAGCTCGCACCCGCCTCGATTTCGCGAAAGAGTTTCGTGTAGTAGGGACGCAGCAGATGGTCGGCCTCGAGCAGAAGAACGTGCCGCAGGAAGCGCACACTCTCGCCCAGCTGCAGCTCCACTTTGATGGCTTGGATGGCAAACTGATTGGCCAGCGACTGGCGACGCAGCAGAATATCCTTGAGCGCCTCCGAAAGCACATCCTTTAGCTGCAGTTGCGTGATGCGCTCGAGTCGCTGCAGCACTTCGATCGCCCCAGCCGGAGGCGGACGTCGTTGTGGCTGGCACTGCCTCTCCCGCTCCTGCTGCTTCTTCCGCACCGACTGGGTGAGCAGTGACAGCAGATCAGTATTCTTGATGTCCTCCACGCTGCTTAGAAGCTGCTCCTCAAAGGCTAGCTGCTCCGAGGGCTCCTGCCCCGTGTGACTGTTCCCCAGCTGTGTGTCCCCTTCTGTCTCTCCGTACACGCGCAGCTGAACAAAGAGCTGAGCGTGCAGCTCGTCGTAGAAGCGCGAACGTATCTCATTGGTGGTGGCCAGCATGTCGCCGAGCAGATTGACGCTTGCCAGCAGATCCTGCGTCTCACTGGATGTCAGTGAATGCTCGAGGAGCAGCTGATAGAAGGGACATCCCTGCAGTTTCTTGAATATCTGACGATTCTCAGCGCTTTCCTGCTCGTCCAGCTTCCGCTGCCGTATGAGAACTCTGCCCTCCCACGACTCGTCGCTTGCAGCACCCTCACCCTCGGGCATCCAACGCTCCACAATGAACTGGGACTGGCGATCCTCGAGCTTTGCGCGTCGCCACCAGCCATCGAAGATGTTGCAGTAGGTATTCAGCGAGACCAGCAGCAGGGCAATGGCCAGCTTCTGGTGCGGCTTGTGCATGCGCGTCTGCTGGTAAAGCTGCGACAGCAGATGGGCGCACCTCAGATGCGGCGGCCCCGATGGGAGGACAGCCTTGCTGGACAAGTAGCGCAGCAGCTGGAGCATGCGAAAGTGTTTGTTCATGTGGCGGATAAATTGAATGAGCGACACGTGCTCCTCGTTGAGCACACGCTCCTCGTAGGCAAGCAGCGACCGCTTGATGGGTTGCAACAGATCGCGCAGGCCATTGGCAAAGCATTCCAGAGTGCCGATTATGTGCTGCCCATTGTGGCGCAGTGTCAGCTTGTCTATGGTCTGACGCAGTTGCCACATGTCCGCCAGGGCAGGCAACAGTTCCGATTCCAGCGCGGCCTTTAGGCCATCCTGCAAGCCAAGAGATAGACAGAGATAGCTAGCTGTTTGAGCAGAGGCATGTGCCGTTATTCGCTTACCGCTGTCACACTGCAAATGCTCACATTTGGGCGCACACGAATGACACATAGCTGCTTGTCCACCTCAAAGAAGCAACAGCTAACGGGACTAACGAACATGAAGATAATCTCCCGCAGCAAGCAGCGCTCAGTGGTGGTGTTGGGTAACGGATGCTGCACAAGGCCCAGCGACTGCTTGTTGAGAAACTGCACATGGCTGATGGCAAAATTGGACAGTGGCTCGCTGTCGGGTGGCTTGGTGTGGATTTGTATGTCCTGTCGCCACCAATGTGAGTGGATCTGCTGGGGCAGCAGCTTCTCGTCACGCACGCACGGCGTGTGTTGGGTGTAAAGCTTGGGCGGCTGAAGCGGCGGCAGCGGTATAAAATTGCTGCGTCTTATCTCCTCCAGTGGAGCCACGAGAGCGAGATTGACGGGCGCATTTATGTGAAAGGATTGGCCGGATGTGCCTGACCTTGCAGACTCTGGCACGTAGGTTTGCTCCACGCGCAGCTTGACGTTTTCCATGGCGTTCTTGTAGACACGGGCCATGTCCTTTGGCTTTAGCGTGGTCTTCGACTCCTCTGGGGAGTCCACAGAGCCACTAGTCGCATGCACATCGCTCTCCTCGGATTGTTCCTGCAGGGCAAGAGCTCCTTTAAGTGGATTTAACATGCCATACGGCAGCAGCCACTTACCTCCTGCGAGTCCGAGCTGTCCACAGGCTTTGGCCACTCCAAAAAATCCTCGCTGAGCAGCTTCAGCCAGTCGGTGTCCGCCTCGAGGCTGTTGGACGCAACGTCCTTTGAGTTGGAGGCGTTATCGCATGCTTTGACGGCTGCCAGTGCTGAAAGGCGGCACTGATCCATCTGTTGGCGATTCCGACGCACATTTTGTATGGGCGCGTTGGTCATGCTGAGCATAAAATCAAGCACAGACCACTGCACGTCTGTCTGGGGATGATCCTGCCAGACGGGATCTTCGACCAGTTGTGCGCTCAGCTCCTTGATGGCTTCGCCAAAGGGTGCCATATTTTCCTCCTGGAAACGTTTCACCAAGTCGTCGCGCGCCTGCGTCACCTCGTGACTTGTCGTGCTCATGTAGCTGGAGTGGCGTATATGCTTCCTGGCAATCTGCTCCATCTTCCGCTGCTGCTTTGCAGTGATCTGACCACAGGAGATGAAGATAATTTTGATATTGTTATTGGAAGCCGGCTACAACGACGCTTCAGACTTACATTGGGCCCAGCCACGCTCTTGATTAGTTTCTGCACATGTTCGGAAATTAGTGCATTGCGCGTATCCGTCGACATGTTTGCAGTTGGCTTCTTGTCGCACATTTTATCTGCAAGCAACGAACAAATATAAACAAATTGGCGAGGCGCCTGCACTTCGAAGGCGAACCAGCTGTTTCCTTTTTTAACCACTCAAACCGTTATAGTACACGTTATAGTAGTATTGTACACTCGTTCATTGATATTAATAAATATAATACTTAATTGCTTGTCTGTTACTTATAACTGTATAATTAAATTCTTATTATCAGCTGGCCACCATTGTCTACTTTCAATAAACAATTATTTCGCTCGCTCTATTTGAAAACAGCTGGCTGCTGAGGGGCTGCAACTATCGATAGCATTTGTAACGATTATTGAAAACGTCTTTGTTTGTTTTCTTTTTTTAATATAATTCCAGTGCATCAATTAAAAAGAATTCAAATCTCAAATATTGAACGCACATGCTTCACTCCACTCAATGTGAAAAATACATTTAATTGTATTTACTTAACAATCGATAGATGGGCATTGCGGTATAGTATCAGTGTGACCATACAGACACAGACACAGACACTCTGAAACTTTGAATTCTCGAGAAGATTATGTCCACAGAAGAAGCCGTCGTATATCCCACTTATGTGATACTTGGCTCTGGTGGCCACACGGCCGAGATGTGCAAGATCACCAAGGCCCTGCTCCAGCAGCAGCGGGCCAAAGACAGCGACAAGTACCAGCCTATTCGCTTTGTTGCTGCCAACAATGATGAGACCTCGGATCGTCAACTGCTGGCCGTTCTGGGTGACTCCGGCACTGATAGCCTCCTACGTGTGCCACGGAGTCGCAACGTAGGCCAAAGCTGGCTAAGCAGCATCTTCACCATCATATACGCTCTGCTCTGGAGCTGCTGGCTCATCTGGCGCGACCGGCCGCAGCTGGTGCTCTGCAATGGTCCCGGCACCTGTGTGCCCTACTGCTATGCTGCCTACATGTGGCGTCTGCTCGGCCGCCTGCCCGCCAACAGTCGCATTGTGTTCGTGGAGAGCTTCTGCCGCGTGGAGACGCTCTCGCTAAGCGGTCGTCTGCTGCTGCCGCTGGTGGACATGTTCGTGGTGCATTGGCCCGGACTGGCCAAACGCTACGAGGATCGACCCAATCTACGCTACTTCGGAAGACTTTTTTAGCTTGTTGTTTCTTCTTCTGGCTTGTGTGGCTTGTTGCTTTATTTTAGGTACGTCGGAACAAAACAAAAAATACTTCTGGGGCTGAATAAAACAGAAATTTTCGGAAAGCGCTTAACATTTAACGTAGGTGTGTGTGTGTGTGTGTGGGTTGATTAATGATTAATTATAGGTAAATGTTTTATAATAATAGGATAACAATTAGTTATAGCTTGCCCCCGCAGAGGCTGCGATGTGCATCCAGCTGATGGCCAAGCAACTCCCGGCCGCACTTGGGGCATGAAATTGTTTTCTTGAACAGACTACGCTGCCGCAGCTGGCGCGGTGTTGGCTCCTCCTCGCTGCTTAGATTGAGCGGCGCTATCTCCGCCTCGGTGTAGCCAGCATCGCGCAGCACTTGCTTCGAGGAGCTACGGTTGCGGGTTGCTCTGGAATTGCCTGAAGTTATGGTCGCAGTGGGAGCAGCCGATGGTCTCGATTTTGACTTGGGCTTGAAGGATGGCGGCTCCACTTTGTTGGTAATGAAACAGCCCTCGAAATGATTCGATAGCTGCGAGCGTTTGATGCTGTTGAAGCAAATGGGACAGGTGACAATGTCGTTGTTTAAATTGTTCTCGGTACGCGAGCCAGTCGCCACGACATCGTTCTGCAGCTGAAACTCCGCCAGCAGCGTGTCCGTTCCAAACAAATCATCGATGACGGATTGATCGGCCAGCTCGGTGGCTGCTATGAGGCTGCTATCAACATCCTCCTGCTGCTCATCATCGTACTCATCGTCAATCATTACAATGTCATCGTCATCAAAGTCCTTGGACTCATCGAACATGACCTCCTGCTTGATCTTGCGTGTGAGCTCCTGGCCGCTTGTGACGTTGCCATAGTCACTCTTCGGCTGCACGCTGTCTCTGTCGCCGTCACACTCCTCATCGCTGCTCAAAAGAAAAACTGTGGGCGTCATATTCTGCGCCACCATCACATCATCATCGTAGGACTCCCAGGCTATCATGGGGCTGTCTTCGTCGGGGCTATGGGAACGCTTACGAGTGCTCTGCTTGGGCTCCTCCTTGGCTGCTGCTGGCACATTCCCGAAACGCTTCTGGCGAATGTTGCGCACAAAATCGGCATCGTGGGCCGAGCCTGCGCCAGCGGCAGCTGTGGCACCCTTCGAGCTGGTCAAAGTGTAGCCCTGACCGCCTAAGAAGTTCTCCTTGACCCTTGCGCCAGTGTTCTCCTGCTCATCCGCGCTCTGGTTGAGATCGGAGATGCTTCTGATCTTCGATTTGGGCATGGCAAATGGATTGTTACTCTGTCCCGGGTATGAGGTGGGCGGCACGCCGCTCACCAAATTATCCAGAAATCCACTGGCAATACTCGACACTGTGGCCTGCTTTTTGGCAGGCGGATTGCCGATAAAGTTGCGTATATCCCCGCTGCCGGACGTATCCTTCTTGACAGTGGCCTTGGCCACTGGCTTCTCTGCTTTGGCCTTCTGCTGTGGCTTGCGTTTCTCTGGCTCGCTGACCTTTTGAAAGGTTCCACTGCAATCGCGCGTATGCTTCTCCCACCACTGATCGTTTGGGCCGGGAGCACGGTTCGCGGTGCGCCTAACATAGCCATGGAACGGCGGACGATTCTGGCAAATGCCCGTGCAGCGCCACACGTGTGTCTTGTACCTTGCGACCTCATCGTGGAAGTTGTGATAGACGCTGATATTGGTCCCAGCCACCTGATTGATGGTGTTCATAATCCGCTTAAAGTTCGGACCATGTCCGCCGTTTCCCTCGCGTATGTTCAGCATGTAGCAGTAGGCATGGATCATTTCGTGCTGCAAAAAGGTCAACATGCAAGAGGGTTAAGGGCTTAGGAGTTGCCTAGGCTTGCCAGTTAGACTCACCAGCAGCGTTTCAACTAGATCCTTGCGTGGACGCAGCTTGAGCAGCGGCTCGCTCAGCCGTATAGTAATTTCTTTTGTGTATCGATTGCTGCGCAGATAGCAGATGCCAGCACACGAAAACATGCGCTTGCTCCACTCCAAGACGACGCTGCCCAGTCGGTTCTGAAAAAACTTCTCGTTAAAGCGCACAAACATGGAGAAGATGTTGGGCGTGGGATCGACCACTTCCCACTCGGCATGCACCAAATTGCTCGTCTGATTCAGGTAATCCTTTCCCATACTATCAGAGCGAGTCGTGGAGTGCAGCGGCGAGCTCTTGGCCAACGCATTCTAAAGTTGTTTCAATTAAAAACAAATCGCTTCAATAGTTGCAGCCCTTACCGCCTGTTTGGTTGGATAAACAAATTGGAGGCTGTCGTCCAGGTCGGTGGGTTCATCGGGACGCTCCTTCTGTTCCTCTTCCTGTAGACGGAGAGCAAATAGATAGTCGGCTTCCTCATCTGCTGTCTTTTTGGATTGCTGCGAGTTTTAAAATGAATATTCAACAACTTTCTGATACATTTTGACTTTGTGCTGACACTTACCGGCTGACTCTGCTTTTCTACGGCCTCTTCTCCGTTCAGTCTACGGCTTAGACGTTGGGCGAACAGAAAGTCGCTGTCTTCAGACATCGTTAACACTAATGCAGCAGTGCTGCTGCTCAATATTTCTTTCAATCTTACGCAGTTCTTCAAAATATGTCTTTTTGGCCGCGAATTGGCGCTATACTTCGGCGGTGGGCCCGTTTCGGGAAAGAAAGAAAACGTATGGTCGCGGTGTGCTTGGTATGTACTAAAATTACCGCAAAAAAAGACGAAAGACAAGAAAATTAGTTTCCCAATTTGTACTTTCCTGTGACTTTGAATATGTGATCGGCGAATTTGCTGCACGAATATGGCTGATTTTCCATATTAAAATACAACTAAGGTCAAGAACTTACCACTTCAATTCACGAGGACTGGGCCAAAACTAACTGGGACTACACAGCACTGTCCCTTAAGGTTTTTTTTTCGAAATGACAGATCGTTGTCAAAAAGGAAAGAGACGATTTGGCGAACAATTGTCGAATCATTTCGAACGCTACTGTGGAAGACTCTTTTAGCTTGTTGTTTCTTCTTCTGGCTTGTGTTGCTTGTAGCTTTATTTACAGAAAGCCGTGTGCTTGTGTGTGCGTGGGTTGGGCAATGTTGTGGTTGATTAATGATTAATTATAAATGTTTTACAATAATAGGATAACAATTCGTTTTAGCATAGAGTTAGTGCTTGCTGGAAGGTGCAGCCTCCTGCTGCTCATCGTCGGGCTCATCGTCAATTATAATACAATCATCCTCTTCGTCGCTGCTTATAAGCGAAATTACTTCTTCGTCGCTGCTTATAGGCGAAGTTACTTCTTCGTCGCTGCTTATAGGCGAAGTTACTGCTTCGTCGATGCTTATAGGCGAAGTTACTTCTTCGTCGCTGCTTATAAGCGAAATTACTTCTTCGTCATTGGGTTGTGAGGCTACCATGGGGCTGCCTTCATCAGCGCCATTGGGCTCATTCTTGGCTGCTGCTGGCAAATTCCCGGCAGCTGTGGCACCGCCTAAGACGTTGTCCTCGACCCTTTGGCCAGTGTTCATCCACTCATCCACCATCGCGTTGAGTGCCGAGACGCGGACCTGTTCCGGGTACGAGGTGGGCGGCACGCCGCTCACCAAATTGTCTAGAAGTCCAGTGGCATCACTCGACTCTGTGGCCTGATTTTTGGCTGGCTGCGAGTTTTAAATAAATATTCAACAATTTTCTGGTACATTTTGACTTTGTGCCGAAACTTACCGGCTGTGTCTGCTCTTTTCCGTTCGGTGGGCTGCTTACACGTTTGGGGAACAAATTGTCGCTGTTTTCAGCCATCATGAACAATATTTTTTTAAATTTTACGCAGTTCTTCAAAATCTGTTATGCCCGCGAATTGGCGCTTTACTTCGGCGGTGTGCCCGTTGCGTGGAAACCAAGGTGAAATCGCTGTGAAATACCGCAAAATTTTGCGAAACACGAAAACCAAGAAAATTAATTTCCAAATTGTTACTTTCCTGTGACGTGGTATGTGAAATTAATTTACAAAAGGCCTACTTAGGCCTGCTTTTCCCCGTTAAATTTAAACTTACCACTTCATAGGGCTGGGATACAAATCGATAGCGCTATCGATACTATCGATGGTTGAAAATCTAGCCGACCATCGATTGTTTCTCTTCTCACTACAAAACAATTGGGGAACTTTTTGAAGAGCATGAAGGGTAAGTTAATTCAAAAATTATTTTAATCATATGTAAGTCCTGTTGTACGGAATAGCGTGTGCGTGAGTATCTTTTCTAAGTAGTTAAAAACATTCTTCAAAGTGTAACAAACTTCAAAGTGGCCCTGTTAAATGGCCCTGTTTCTTACAAAAAATACATTGAAATGTAAAATTTACTTAAGTTAATTAACCTCTTAAAACGGTTCTCTTTATTTTATTTTTTCTTTATCTCTTGGGAGTGTATGAAATATTCGAATTATTGTTTTGTTTTCATTTTGGCTTTCTTAAATGAAGTTTAAAAATAGCGGGTTTTATCGATACTATCGGGATTTCGATAGTTTCCACTAGCAATAGTGGCCACTATCGATTTATTCCAACTCGGATTGCACAGCACTGGCCCATCAACTGTTTGACCGGTAAAAAAGATGGCGTCGTGACGGAAGGGCGCACGCGTACGAGAGAGACAACGAAATAGACTTGTCAAAAAGGAAGAGACGAGATTTGGGGAACGACAAAGTATTTCACGCTTTCACGAGGAATTCAATTTAAAAACAACGCAATGCAAGGTAATATATTAATTATTATTAATATTAACACCCCCACATGCAGAATCGCCACGCATTTCATGCTATAAAGTGCGGGCAAGATATTTACGAAGTTCAATTTCGACTTTCTTTTCCGCACTTTTCCTGTGTTATTTTTGATAAATGCAATTGCCAAACATTAAAGTCACTCAGGAGAAAGGCTTGTCCGCTGTTTTTTTGCTTAAAATTATTGTGATTGCGGTATATGGAATGGATTTAGTTTCGGCTTGCCGTGCAATTTTTGCAAGTGCACAAGTACAAGTGTCTGTACGTGTGTGTGTGTGTGTGTGTGCTCAAAAGCCGAAAGAAAAACCTGCTGAAAGTTCAAAGGAAGAGAAATCCAAAGCAAATGTATTTGCAATTGCTTGCCTTCTTCTTTCTCTGATCTTTTAATCGGTAAAACCAACCAAATCTTACCAACTCCCGGCAAATCCTATTACTCGTGTGCGTGTGTGTGTGTGTGTGTACTCTGCCCGACGGATGCCGGAGTGCCAGCAGAGCTTTCGAAGTGATGGAAGCACTTTCGATCCAGGATGCACAGACTACACCCAACACGCACCAAGGGCAGCCACGTGCAGCGCCAATCTAGTGCGTAGCACATCCAAGTCCCGAAATGGCACAGAAGCATGCAACGTCGTGAATCTATTGCAGCAACCAACAACAAGCAGCTTTCCGCAAATCATCGTGGAATGCCTGCGCCGACATTCGACTCCCAAGCGCCAGGCGCCAGGCGCCGCGCCGCTGTGTGACATGCAAACATACATCCATGCATGGCACACACATATGTGTGTGTGTGCATGTGCATGCAAAAGCGCGACGCACACACACAGGAATGGTGGAGTTGCGGCATCGGCTGACCATCAGTAGCATAAACAAAACTGTCTCCAAACTGATAAACAAAAGACGAAGCGGCAGCGGCAGCGGGAGCGGGAGCGAGCAAGCACCTTCCATTGATCTGAAACCCGGCAAGTTTGCTGATTGCGCTGAATGAGTTTTTTTTTGTTGTTGGTGGGAGTGAAATTTGATACATAAACATTGCAAATCGAACAGGCTGGATGATTGTTATTGTTGTTTTTTTTTTTTACTCTACTCTACGTCAAATATTATCCATTGGATTGCAGTTAGTTAGCGTGAAAAAGTTTGTGAACGCAGCCTTGGCCTTAGATACAAGTGAGGCCCGAGAACGGAGAACGCCGATCGGCGATCGTCGCGCAGTGTTCGGCTCCCTGTTCGGCTCTTTCCCTTTGCCTCTTTCGCGTCTCTTTGTTTTGTTGTTGCTGTGCCGCCGGCCAGCCGCGCTCAAATCTCCGTTTCACAGCACTTCACAGACAAGGCGCAGTCAGTGCGGAGTGCGGGCGCTGCAAGGAGTCGTTAAACACGTGACCACTGGCAAGCCATTGGACAGTGCAAAGTCAAAGCAAAATAATTCATGTAAAACCTCTTTTCCGTTGCATATTTACAGATAATGACGCAGATTCGGCTATGGCTCGTCGTGTAACATCTACAGACTTGCTGCCCTGGGGTAACAACATGGGCCTGGAGCTGGGCCTGGAGCTGGGCCTGGAGCTGTGCCTAGAGCTGGGCCTGGAGCTGGGCCTGGAGCTGGGCCTGGAGCTGTGCCTAGAGCTGGGCCTGGAGCTGGGCCTAGAGCTTGGCCTGGAGCTGGAGCTGGAGCTGGGACCACTACAGGGACCGACAATGAGCAACGTTTTCGCAACGGGCAGCGCTCCAATCGCGTTCGTCCACTGACTCTGAACAATTTCATTAACTTTGAGGAATTGGAGAAGCAAGCAGCCGCTTCCAAGAACAAACCCACATCCAAGTCGAAGCCAGAGGAGACAACAAAGAGCCTTGAGGACCTAAACCACACAATCCACTCGCTGCCATTCAACGGCAACCCGTTGCCGCTCAAATTTGGTGGGCTGCTGATCGGGGACCATATATGGGGCAGTGTCAACTCTGCAGCTGGAGAAGCACCGCAGATATGGCCCAATAATTTGATCTTTCAGGAGGAAGCCAACGAGCAGCCTGAGCCCAAGCCTAAGCCTAAGCCTAAGTTAAATCCCATTGGCTGGGAGATGCAAAATGCACGTCGCATCAGGAAAGCCTTGGCAGCGCTACAGAAACAAAACGCCACAGAGAATGGCCAATCTATGATCTGCCAGCAGCAGAAGCAGCAGCAGCAGCAGCAGCAGCAGCAGCAGCATTTGGGCATGTGTCAGCCACTGGGCCAGTCCAATGGCAATGGTCAGGTGCCCATTTATCAGGTGCAGCGAGAGGGCTCACAGCGTTATCCGCAGGATCAATCGAATCATGGCCAGTGGGGCTATCAGCCGGGTCCAGCCAACAATGGCAGCTACGGGGATCATCGCCAGCAGCAGCAGTTCATGCTGCAGCAGCAGCAGCAGCAGCAGCAGCAGCAGCAGCAGCAGTACCCAATGCTGCCCGTTCTACTGGCCCTGCCGGCAAAGTTTATGAAACTGCTCGAGTTGCTCGTGCTGCAGGAGTCAATGATATTGCAGCTGCAGCAACGTTCGCTCTTTCAGCCGGTTGTCGGTGGTGATGACTGCAACAGGGATTGGCTGGAGAACAAGCGACAATTCGAAATGATTAGCAGGCTGAACTACTTTCCGGTGAAGTCCTCCGAGGAGCTGCTGCTTGCCGCCTCGCTCTACGCGCTGTACGACGAGCATTTTTTCAATCTGCCCGAGGGCTGGTGCTACAGGGACACACTGGAGCCGCCATTGAATATGAGCATGGCCTACCATCCCATATACAATACGTTTCACGCACAGCCGCCATGGCAGAACTGGCAGTGGCAGTGGCACAGTAACGGGCATCAATATCAATATCAATATCCACAACCGGTGGGTCAGCAGCAGCAGCTGGACCACTACGCTTGGCAGCACCAGCGCCGTCAGCAGTGGTACTGCCAGAACTTTTATTGGCAAAATGTGTTAATGGAACAGCAGCAGCAGTATAACTTGCTGAAGGAACAGGAGCGGCAGCAGATCCAGTTTCAATTGCAACTGGAGCAGCAGCAGCAGCAGCAGCAGCGCCGCCGTTGGAACGGACCAGCACACACAAATGCCATAATGTCATTCGATCAGTTTCCGCATGGACACGGCAGCACACAGGAGGAAGCTGCCCCTGCCGCCACGGCGGCCGTGGCGGCCGTGGCGGACTGGAAGCCGCCGGCACGGGTAAACCTTATGCAATTTATGCAAACTATTCACTTTGTCAATAAACATGTTCTCCTCTCAATGCAGTACAAGACGCTGGCAGAGGCGCTTGCAGAAATTGAAGCGGAAGCTAAGAGCAAAACGACTTCGAAGGAGGAATTGCTGGATTTGAGCACTGAAAACTTTCCATCGCTGCCAAAGCCAGTGAACCATGGTTAGGTGTGAACGACCAAATACAGTCATAAGTACAGGAAATCTAATTTTTTGTTTCTCAACTAGATGTAAACAACGAGTTTCCTTATACAAATAAACAATTAAATAATATTTAAATTTTAAATATTCCGGCGGGCTCGGGGTGTGCCAGTGCTAAAAAAGAGCTGGAGTTGTCGTTTGTGCACACTGTTTAGTAAACAGCAGACCAGAGTATATATTATCCACAGTATATTCCGAAAATGAAACGGTATATTTTGGTATATTTCCAAGTGTCTGTTGGTATATTTGATCGATAACTCCGCGGTCACACTGCTCTCGCGATTCAATAAAAGTTTTTTTTATACCAATTTCGGCGCTCAAGTGACTCCAGGACGCCAAAATAATGGAGGCACTGGTCAACTATAGCAGCGAAGATGACCAAGACGAAGCTAGCTATCAAATACGGGTAAATATATGAAATAACAATTACAGGAAGCAGCGAAAAAATGCACTAAAATCGAACGCCAGGTGTCATATTGTGTACACATTTTGCCAGAGGCGTGCGTTGTGCATCCCATTTGTCTGTGTGTGTGTGTGAAAAACCGATATCCGAAATGAACTAACAAAAATACAAAAAAAGGACAGAATCTAGTAGAACTTTCGTTATATTTCTTCCATTCAGAAGAGTCCAACCCATCACCATTCAGACCCCCCATCCACACTCAATCCCAACAAACACACAAAAAAAAACAACAGAAAAAAAAAACAAAACGTACTGTCCACCTCTCTACTTATGTAGTTGTATCCTAGTGCTTTAGTAAAATAATGCGAATTTGCTGTGTTTCTGAATAGTTGAACAATTCCCCTAGGCACCACCACCACAGCCAACGAAATCGGCGGCTTTGGCAGTCAGCGCTGCAGCCGTTGCCTCTGCAAAAGCCGCCGTAAAGCATCAGCATCAGCATCTTAAGGCCAAAAAGAACAACAACGAAGGCGGCAGCGGCAACGGCAGCAATAGCAGCAGCCAGAAACAGCAGCAACGCCAACGTCATCGGCGACGCTCAAGCAGCAGCAGCAGTAGTAGCAGCAGCAGCAGCAGCGGCAGCGGTAGTAGCAGCGGCAGTAGCAGTGACAGCAGCAGCGGCAGTAGCAGTAGCACCAGCAGCGCTAGCAGCACCAGTAGCAGTAGCAGCGCCAGCGCCAGTGAAAAGTCCAAGAAACGGAAAAGCACACCACAACAGCCGCCGACAGTGGCGTCCACAATGGTCACCGGCGGGAAGCAACAAAACAGGAGCGACACACGCACTCGCACACGCAGTCGCAGCCGCCAGTCGAACAACAGCAGCACCATTGATAAGGTAATGATGAATGTTTCATAAAACGAAATCTATGCTTTAAAACAAATATTTCATTATACGAAATAAGCGAATAAAAGGGGTCGGTCGGAATGGATAGGCCAATGCTTGGAGTGCATTCGTTTCCATGTGCACATGTCCCCTCTGCCTCAATTAGCATTCGATCTGAATTATCTGATTCCCACACCCAGCTTCTCAGACCCAGGCTGGCTCTCGAAGCGGCAAAGGCAAACTTCGGTAAACCGAAGGCTGTGACACAGTTTTCCGATGCATTAAGCAGCGATTGCTTCCCTTGGCTTCCCCCTCTGTGCTCTACCCCTTCGTCCGTTCGTATTTGCTGCATTGTTAACACTGGACACTTTGGCATGTGGTCCTGGTCCTGGCGTTTGGCTGCGGGGGCAGCGCTTAGTTCTACATAAGTTTACAACTTTAAATGCCGCCTTATTATTTAAATGACTAAAATCTACCATTTTATTATCATTATTGTTGTTATTGTGTAAACGAAACCCCCAAAACAAAGACACAAACAAAAACAAAACCAAAATGAGAATAATGAAACGAAAAATGAACTCAAAACTTGACCCCAGACGATTGATTGATTTCGAATCGATTGATCGATAGATTGCTATCGATGACGCGATGTCTCCTATTAGTGATATATTAAAGTGGTGTCCTGTTACCTGTCCTGTGGTCGGTTGCCCAGGCACACGAACAAACATACACCTCATATCCACCTCAACCAACACCACCCACAACCCACTGAACCGCATGTGGTGGCGGCAAAGAGACCTTGAAATTGAGAGATAATGATAGAGAGAAAGAAAGAGAGAGAGAGATCGAGCCGCACGAATGTGAGTATAACAAAAAAGCAAAATAGAAAAATTAATTCTCTTAGCCAGAGGTCAGAGAGTCGCCAGTCCAGAAGCCAGGACGCACCGTCAGCTGATTCGATTCCCCCCATAGCTCCTAGATTTATTGCCTTTGGATCGTTTATTTAATGTATGCAACATTTCCATTGGTGGCTTGCCTATTCTTCTCGTTGTAGGAGCCAAAACAGCGCCAGCGCCAGGAGCGCCCAAAGCAGAAGGAGAAGGAGAAACTAAAGGAACAAGAAAAGGAGAAAGAGAAGGAAAAGGAAAAAGAGAAGGAGAAGGAAAAGGAGCGCGATCGTGAACGCAACAGGGAGAAGGAGAAGCGCGACATCGAACGCAGTCGTGACAAGGAGCGTGACAGGGACAGGGATAACAGTAAGGTAAGTGCAAGGCTGCCACCCGACAGCAATGTTGCCTGTTGCCAGATGTGCTCATGATTTGTTTCCCTTTTACAGAGCGCCCAACGCCACCAACGTACCAAAGAGATTAAGCAGGGCCACAGGGAGAAGGACAAAGGCAAGGACAAGGACAAGGATCGCGAGCGAAAACGTGAAAGTGAGCGCGAGCGCGAACGTGATAAGGAACGCGATCGCCATGGCCAGCGTGAGCGTGAACGTGAACGCGAACGTGACAGAGGCGGTGACCATCGCGGACGACAGCTGCAGCACCACAGCAAGGATCAGCGCCAGAGCAAGGAAAACTCACGCTCACACATGTCATCGTCAGCGGCTCACAAATCTCAGCGTCGCTCCTACGACGAGCGCAGTCGCCGGCGCCGCGGCTCGCGTTCCAGAACCCGCACGCCGACAGGCACATCGCCCGATCGTCGCCGTCGCCATCATCATCATCAGTCATCAGGGAAAGGCAAAGGCACGGGACAGTCGTCGTCGTCGTCGTCGCGCAAGTATCGTGGACGCGACTCCAGAAGCCGCTCTGGATCACCGCAGGAGCAGGCAGGCGATGGCGGACGTTCCAAGAAGCCAAGCGGCGAGGAGCTGTTGTCTCGCGCTGGAGCAACAGCTGGCATTGTCGCTGGAACAGGGATGATGCTGCCCAAGCCGGTATCGGCGCCAGCAACAGCAGCCGCCGCTCTGGCAGCGATTAAAGCAAAGGCTGCCATTCAGGGCGGCTCGGGAGGAGCAGGAAGCGGAGGCGGGGCCGGACTGCTGCCCACGCCAAACTACACAACAAATATACCCTCATTGATGTCACTGGCCGTGCCGCCAGTGAGCAACGCAGCCATTAGGCTGCCACTGGGCATGCCGCCCATAATGACGATGCCGCCCATTCAGGCCATGACGCCCGCTAAGCCCATCCAGCTGCCCAGCTACTACAATCCGGGCATCATCAATGCCAATCGGTATGCGGAGCAGCAGCAGAAGCGCAAGCTGCTGTGGGGCTCCAAGAAGAGCGAACCGCCGGCCAATAAGTGGGGCAATGCTCACTTCTCCCAGGATTCGGACGGCAAGGTGGCTTCCAAGTTTATGCGCCTGATGGGCATCAAGAATGCTGCCGGCGGTGTGGCAGAGGATGGAGCGGACGGGCGCGATCATGTCGATCAGGGTGATGCCAGCAATGGCAGCTCTGCGGGCGCAGCTGGCGAGGATGCGGGCGAAGCGACAGCTACAGCGACGGTGGCTGGGGCTGGTGCAGCGGCACCAGGAGTGCCCGCCGATGTGGAACAGCGCCAGCGAATGTTTTCCAACATGGAGCAGCAGTACGAGATGGCTCGTGCGGCCACACACACTATGCGAGGCGTTGGACTGGGCTTTGGCTCCCAGCCGCGCACCTTCTAGAGCGGGTCCCGGGGGGAGCAACAGGAGCACAACTTGGCTGTAAATAAGATGCCACACTCATTAGTCACTTGAAGCTGTTTACTTTCACGTTTTTTTTTTGTTTATGTGTTGAGACAAACTTTAAACTATAAAATAAACGTTTCAACAGAAGAATGTTCCCAAATGGCCAAAAATGTTTTTTCAATTGTTTTTTCAAGCAGTGCGCGTCTGGGGGTGTCGTAGCAGTCAGCGTCTGACCAGAAATACTACTATCGCAGCATCGCCCACTAACCTATCGATAGCAGCGCCCATTCATCGCATATGAAACAATAACAAAATCAGCTGCAAGACGTTTGTGCCACGCAAAAAAAGAAGGAAATAATTAAATTGGTTGCTGAAAGCGTATCCCTGCAGGAATAACTTTACCCAGAGAGAGAGAGAGTGAGAGGCGAAATCGCACAAGTTAGAGGAGCAATCAGGCCGTAGACATGTCCTGGCTAAACAACAGCCTCAACTCCATCAAGGGCCAGCTGACAAATCTGGCCCAGGAAGTGCTGGCCGACACGGCCGGCCCCGGCGACGAGGACTACCGCGGCGCGGAGACCGACACTAAGACAGCGCTAGAGCTGCTGGCCGAGTCGCAGCAGCAAAAGGAACAGCTGGACCAGCTCTGCGGTGACAAGGATCGTGAGGTAGGGCCCGTGCCCCAGTGGGCACTTGTGCGACTTCCTTCTAACTTCTTCGCACACTCGCTCATTTCTCACACTCTTTCGCAGATTGCGTCGCTTCGTAAGCAAATCACACAACTAAACAGCCAACAAATTGGCGACAAAGCATCAGCAGCAGCAGGAGCAGGAGCAGCCACAACAGCCGCAGAGCCACTGGTGAGTGTCGAATGATCGAATGTTGCCTCGCGTACCTGCAGCTGTTCCGTGTTCCGTTCCGCATTTGGTACATTGCACTTCCAGTGTTTGCTCAACTTTATCGACGCTGAGATAAGCCCAGCCCAGCCGAGCGCTGCTAGCTTCTCGCTCTCCTTTGAGCACGTTTGAGTATCCCTGAATTAATATTTAAACTGTGATAAAGTTTTGGCAGGAGCAGCCAGCCTGTTCCCTGTACTTCAGTACCCCTGTACCCACACACACACACACACAGTCGAGAGGCCGTCGTCGATAAGCAGCGCTCTGTCCCTCCGCCACCTTTTCCGGTGCCAACATTTTCGTGGAAAACGAAATTATGAAATTTCTATTTGATTTCACGTAGTTTTTTGTTTGTTTGGTATTTGCTCGTCTCTGTCATAAATCCATACGTTGGCTCATAGATTCGCCCCGTTGCTCTTCCAGTTGTTGTCCATATGTTGGGCCAGAGCCAGAGCCAGCCACTGGCAGTCACTGCCTCCTATCTACTCCCACTCCCACTCCCACAGTGCCTGCCTCCTGTCGCCTGCTTGTTTAATTTACCCAATTATTTCTGATTAAAAAAACAGTCTCCGATGTCGCGTTTGTGTCGCAGCTGTACCTGCCCAGGGTGGACACACAACTGTACCTCAGCTGCAGTGGGAAGTGCAACCCAAAAGGGGTGCACAATGGCTCGAAGTTTGTGCTGTTGTGCAGGAGCTGTGCCGCTTCTCGTGGCTGTACCTGGCCAGGCCATCTCCCAGGAACTGCATAGCTGAAAGTTTATATATTCCTCTGTAGATTTATCGGGCTTAGTCCCACAGAACTTATCATCTTTTTAGCAGCAAGAGTTTATGTTCCACTTACCCTGCTCCTGCCAATGTTTAGTGCTTTATTTATTTCTTCGCTTTTGAGAATTGTGCTTGATAATTATTGAATCGAATCGGAACAGGAATAGAAATAGCAGAAGTACATACATATTTACATTAGGCAATGTGCCAAGCATACCGCAAATGATTATCTACAATTCTGTTCCCAGATCGATTAACATAACTCTTGCATTCTAATATATAAGACATGAATGGTCATCTGGCAGGCCAGACATAAATGCGGAAGGAAAGCCGACAACTTGCTTCTCGCACCACACAGTCTCAAGTCACAACAGCAAGAGTTTATGTTCCGCTTACCCTGCCTATGCCAATGCCTCTTCTCCTTTTGAGAACTTTATTTGTTAGCTTGTGCTTGAGAATAGTTCAATCCAAACGTTTGCCTTGGCACTTGCCGAACAGCAGGAATAACGTGGCAGCCTAGATTTGAGCGTAAGACTTTCATTCCAAAAGGTTGTGCCAAAAAGTCTCTCTACGATATTAAAATATCGAAACAAAACATTGCCGTGTGAGGAGGGTACGAGTGTGTTTTATTTGGACATGTTTTTAGCAGCGTTGAGGCATAGCCTGGCATTCTGGCACTTGGCACTTTATAGTCTAGAATTGTTTGAGGTTGTCTGCAAGCTCTGCAATTAAAATACCCAACAATTAAATCATTATGCATTTAGGAGGGGAAATTGAACTTACTGCAGGTTGCTGCAGGAGAGTTTTGTGGAGTATATTTTTGTATTCGGGGGAGAGCTCCTTATCAGCAAAGTTCCCTCACAGCAGCTGGTGTGGCGTTGAATTTTGTTCCCCAGAACAATAAGATCGGGCTCGGTTTTCAGAAGAGAAGAGAAATGTAAACAAATAATTGGTTTTTGCATTTTGTTGTTGCCAAATGGCTCAATGCAAGCGCAGCGTTTATCTGCTCTCACGAATTTTGGACTTTTCGGGGGGGGGGAGATCTATGAGATCCAAAGACCCTTCTGGTTGGGGGTGGAGCGGAGGGAGGGAGGGCAGGGCGTATGCTTAATGCAGACGCATCTTTTACGTAGCGCCACTCTATCGATCTCGAAATCATTGCCACCGCGGCCACAATCAGAGGCACATCAGAGCTCAGAGATCGAGAACCTTAAGCCATGAGCTTCTCCAGCGACGAGGTAAACTTTCTGGTGTATCGCTACCTGCAGGAGTCCGGCTTCCTGCACTCTGCTTACGTCTTTGGCACTGAGTCGCACATTTCGCGCAGCAGAATCGATGGGAGGCTCGTGCCGCCGGCTGCTCTGATTACCATACTGCAGAAGGGTCTCCTCTACACCGAGGTCGAGTGGAGTGTCGACGATGATGGCGAGGTGCGACGTCGCATTGAGGGATTATCCCTGATTGATGCTGTCATGCCGGAGCCCAAAGCCGCGGAGGAGCCAAAGCAGGAGACCGGCAAGGCGGCGGCTGTCAGTGGCAGTTCGACGAGAGCCAGCAGAAAGCCAAAAGCCAGTGAGTCTTGCTTGGATGATGCCGTTCCATCCACATCCAGAAGAGCTGCCGCACTTGCGACATTCTTTCCAAAGAAATTGCCAAAGGGAAAGGCAGTTCCATCAGCTAAAGCCGCAGCTAAAGCAGCAGCTCCATCAGCTAAAGCAGCAGCTAAAGCAGCAGCACCAGCACCAGCGCCAGCTCCTGCTGCAGCTACAAGTGCCGCCAACATTGAGATTCCCTCATCCGAGGTTTATTCTCTGCGCGGCCACGAGGGTGAGGTGTTCATTTGCGCCTGGAATCCCCGCGTGGATCTGCTGGCCAGTGGCTCGGGCGACGGCACGGCGCGCCTTTGGAACATGTCCGGCCCGAAGGGTCACCACTCGCTCCTGGTGCTGAAGCACTGCCTCGAGCAGGATGGTGAGGATTCGCGCAGCAGCAGGGATGTCACCTCGCTGGACTGGAACGGGGAAGGCTCGCTGCTGGCCACCGGCAGCTACGATGGGTTTGCCCGCATCTGGACCACCGATGGACGCCTGACCCTCAAGCTGGGCCAGCACACGGGACCGATCTTTGCGCTCAAATGGAACAAGTACGGCAATCGCATTGTCTCGGCCGGTGTGGACATGACGACAATCATTTGGGATGCACGCACCGGCAAGTGCAAGCAGCAGTTTGCCTTTCACAGCGCCCCGGCGCTGGACGTGGACTGGCGATCGAGCCATGAATTTGCCTCCTGCAGCACGGATCAGACGATATTCGTGTGCCGACTGGGTGAGAAGCAGCCAGTGAGGACATTCCGCGGGCACACCAACGAGGTGAATGCGATCAAGTGGTGCCCGCAGGGACAGCTGCTGGCCTCCTGCTCGGACGATTTGACGCTGAAGATTTGGAGCATGAAGCGGGATCGTTGCTGCCAGGACATGCTGGCCCACACCAAGGAGATCTACACCATCAGGTGGTCGCCCACGGGGCCAGGCACACGCAACCCGAACATGAATCTGGTCCTGGCCTCCGCCTCCTTCGACTCAACGGTGCGGCTGTGGAATGTGGAGCGTGGCAAGTGCATTCAAACGCTCACCAAGCACACGGAGCCCATCTATTCGGTGGCCTTCAGTCCCGATGGCAAGCATCTGGCCTCCGGCAGCTTCGACAAGTCCATCCACGTTTGGTGCACCCAAACGGGCCAGCTGCTGCACTCGTACAAGACCACCGGCGGCATCTTCGAAGTTTGCTGGAATGCGAAGGGCAACAAGGTGGGCGCCAGTTCCTCTGACGGCGGGGTTTTCGTTTTAGATATGCGCAAGTTTAAAACCGCTTAAAGAACACTTTTCAATGTCCCAAGGGGCACCCAAAACGAACGCCATAATTGAAGGCATTTTCCAAAGGCCAATTTTAATTGTTTTTATATTTTACATTACATTACATGTATGTATGCAATGAGCTATATTTTGCTACATTTTCTACGTTTTTTATTACTTTTTTTACATTTTTTATTACCTTTTTTTTACAATTTATTTGTTGACTGCCTCTGAATTTCTGCGCCTAAACATCTGAATTTATAGCACAAATAAAGTATACCCTATTTAGTCTTCGAGTAACGGGTATAAACAACTATTTGCCATCTTTTGAACTTTGTTTTTCTTTGGAAAATTTCCTACAAAAAATGCAGAAAATCTTTGAAGTTGCTTGGGTTTTTATGCAATTTTGTATGCTCCTCCATTTGCTCCTTTTGTTGCTTGGAATTGCGTACCATGAGTGGAACTATTAAATGCAAAATGCCAAACCTCTCATGATTTGACACTCAATAATGTCACACCAATAAAGGGGGAACTAAATCTTAATCAAAGTTTCCCCATGTAGATTTTTGCACTTTTTGCACCAACAAACTGAAACCCTGCTCCTCGGGCGGATCGTTGTTGCCTCAGTCACATCCTTCGACACCTTTCGGTTGTTGTCTCTATTTGTTTTGTTGGGCTATCTGTTATCTGTTTGGTTATCTAGCTGTGGGTTATCATTCGATCGATAGCTGACTGGCAGCCACCATATTGTTTTGCATAATTGCGCCAGGCGGCAGGCGGCAGGCGATAAGTGTCCCCCCTCTTCATCGGACACTATCATCCCCATTAGTCGGGCATTTTGGGACATCTGCATCGTTGGCACCATGGCACCATGGCACCTTATCTTATCCGGGCTGGGGACAGGATCGAAAGGGTTGGGATGCCTGCCCGGGCTTGGGGTTGGTTGGGCCTGTGCCTGGGCCCTATATAAGTTCCGGCCACCTGCTGGCTGCCATTCATTCGATGCCGGGCATCGATCCCCCAAAGTGTAGCCCGCATAAAGTGTTAATTTGCATTCCTAAAACTCCGCCCTCGGTGTGTGTGTGTGTGTGCCACTTTTGGCCCTAAAAAGACAACGCAAGAGCTCAACGCAATTTGCATTTGAAAATCGTGTGAAATTTCACCCAAAAGAAGGTCAACAGCATTTTTGTACATTTTTTACTTTATTTTTTGTTGCTGGTTTTTTCTGTATTGTTTTTTTGTTATCCATTTGGTGCCGGAAGTTGCCCACGACTGCAGTTTTTATTTCACATTTTTGTTCGAGTGCCGTTTTTCCGTATTCATTTTGGGTGAGTTCAGAACCAAAAAAGAGTTCTCCCAACATTTTTACACGCCAACAGCTTTAAAATTAGTTAAATTGTTCAATTTTAAACGCAACAATTAGACGGAAAAAAACAACCAAAGCTAAAATCAAAGCCCAAAACCCTCGACACGAGACAGCGAGCACGCACCTGGCGATGATAATGAGTCGCCCAGTGGGGATTTGTGGCAGGGGGCCAGAGCTCATGGCTAGTTTGAATCAAAGAAATGTTTCCTCCGGCAAATTTTGACATATTCTTAGTTTGAATTTTGATTTTTATTTTTGGTTCTGTTTAATTTTGTTGCTGTATCGATTTTTAATCGATAACCGCAGGAACATCCTTTGTTTCCATGCTTATAATACTTTGAAAGCATATTCCGGGTGTTAAGCCCTCGTAAAGGAGGTCAAACGCCAGCTTAAACAAGTTAGAGATAAATCTGAAAAATGTAATTAATTTTGTATGGTTTTCGCCTATCGATTGCTTGCATTTTTTATCGATAAACTTACACAAAGGCAGGAAGCACAGAGCGTTTGTCCCTCTCTACCTGCACTGCATCTTGCATAGAATTTCATTAGAGCGGAAATGCTGATGGGTCGCTTGGCTGCTTGGGTCAGTGGGGTGGTGGGGTGGTGGTGTGGTGGGTTGCTGCTCCCGCTGGGGGGAGTGTTATTATTTTTCGGACACGTCAACAGTCAGAACCGAAACCGAAACGGAAACCGAAACCAAAACCAAATCGAGTTCCATTTGATAAACGCGGTTTGTTACGCTTGGTCAAACTGTGTCAAATGTGTCCCCAGCTGCACTTGTTCCGCTCTTTCTGGTCCTACCCTTCCAATAATTAGCGGGGAGAGACCTGCGGCTGGAGTGGGAGTTACATTTTGCCCCTTGGCTATGGCTTGGTGAAACTTTTGGCATAAGAACTGTATTAACTTTCCGTAGGAAGTTCTCATTATTGGCCATGCCCCATGCCACTGTGCCAGAGCTCAACCCACTCGGGGACCACTGTCATATTCCGCTGGGCTCTAAGGGGAGAAGGAATGGCTCTGAAATAATAAACAAATGTTTTTGGGTTTATTATTATTTCGAGTATAGTTGCTTACTTGGACAATTTATTGGGTTCCATATGTGATATTTGCTTCAAGTTTTGATGCACTTGTTGCTGTTACTCATCAGTTTTACTCATTCTTCTGGTATTCTTGTGTATTTTGTGTTCTCTCTGCACTCAACACTGGTCGTTCGTTGATTTGTTTATGCTTTAGCTTGAATTTGATTTGCTTGCCCTTTGCCTTTGGTTGGGTCCCAAATGTACGTACATAATGTGTACATTTCTACATACATAAAGTATACATATTCGTGTGCATTTATTACTAATGTACATACATTTGTGTACTTAATAATCGTTGTAACAATTGCCGAGAGACCTCCACTTATGGCCAGCAAAATCATTCAGCTATGATGATGACGATGATGATAATGCACTCATCAAATGTTTCTGTTGGCTGCTGCTGCCTGCCTGCTCACCTGAGCACGAATCAAAATGACAATTTTGTTGTTGTTGTTGTTGTTGTTGCTGTTGCCACCCACGCCACCCATTTGGCTCACAGCTACCGTACTCCCCCTGGAGCTACTGGGCGGAATTCCCATCAAGCAACTGACCCACGGCCAATGAGAAGTCAAACGTTGCATGTCGCTAAGTGCAGCCAGAGAGTTGCCTCCGCTTCGCCGGGGGGGGTTAGAAGAGACCTGCAATTAGAGTACCCTGTAAATGAAGATCAGTGCAGGGTATGCTGTGTGTGTGTGTGTGTGTGTGTGTGTGTGCAACGGGGGGAAGGCCAAGCAGTCAGCGAGTGAAAACAAAGGATACAATTTGTTCGTGTGAATTCCAAGGTATTTCGCTTCGCTTTACGTTCCACGATCGCTGCTTACTGCGACTGTGACTGTGACTGTGACTCTGGCTGCCTCTGATGACTGACATTGTACGGCTTACGGCTGCCGTACGTTTCTATAAACAATCAGCGAAGCGAGCGGACAATTTTCACTAACTGCCAGCAGCAGCAGCAGCAGCAGCAGCATGGAAAAAGGAAAATGCCAAATGAAAAGCGACAACAACAATGAGGCACGGAACGTGGACAGATCTGAAAACGAATCTTGGCCCAAATCAATTTGCTGCCCTGTGAACGGGCACAGTGACAAAGAGAGAGAGAGAGAGAGAGAGAGCGTCTCACGGCTGGCGCTGCTGCTGATCTGCTGTTCTTCTCTCCACCTTGCACTTCCACATCCACATCCACACATTCATTTCCATTTCCGTTTCCATTTAGCTTCGCGTGTGTCTAACGAGCTGCGCTGCCACTTTGAAGCCTAAATGTGGAGCGGGCGGGTGCAGGGTCTGAGGCTGAGGCTGAGGCTGCAGTAGAATTTGACTGCTGGTTGGGTGGCTTAGTGGTTGGTTGGTTCGTTGCTTCTGGCCTGTGGCTGTAACTCTGACTCCAGCCATTCTCTATTCACTTGGACGCTGCTCTGGGATGCAGCTGCTCTCGCAGAGCTTGTGTCGTTCGCTCTCTCCCCCGCTCTCTCTCTCTCTCTCTCTCTAGTTATGCCTCCCCCCCACTCACGCTCGTTGTCACTCTCCCCCACGCTTGCTCTTCTCTTCAGCTTGTTCTTACACTGCTCCTCTCCTCTGAGTTGCTCAATTTGCCTCGCGTTTAACCTTCGTGTGTAATTGCATATGCTTTGGGCCACCTCCAACTGAGAGTCTCGCGCACAAGTAGGTGCTGACATCGCGCTGACATTGCAGAGGCGCTCCCTTTCAGGGGGGGGGGGGGGGGAACTTCCAAAGAACTTTGCCGAAGAAAGAAAGAGAGAACGGAAAAAGAGCATGGCGGGGGGAACAACTGTAAACTAAATTGCATAGAAGGGGAATAATAAGTAACTCATAATAATGATCAGTTTGAGAAAATTGGAGCAGCAAATAAAGTGGGAAGCAAATCATAGAATATAAAACAGATTTAATTCATGAATTAATCATTAAATGTGGAAACAACAAAGCTACAAATACAAGGCATTCATTTATTATATCTGATTACTGAAAATATTACAAAAATATTATTCATTGAAATATGAAAGCAGAACGAGGCGTTCAATTCTAACAAGATAGTTTTGGGTTGGATTTTTAGTAGTAAAAATAGGCAAATTCAAATAGAAGAATATTTGGAATTTAAATTTGTATCCATGGAATTCCTCTGTGAAGATCTCTCCATGGCTAAGGTACAAGGTAAGAAGTTCGAAGTGGAATTTCTGGCACACTTATCTCTCTCTCTCTCTCTCTCTCTGTTTTCGCTGCTTATTCAGCTGCCCCCTCTTACCACATCGGTTCCGACCAGCCGCCTGTGCATTGCGTTTAGATGTCCGTTGAGCAGTATCAAAATTGTCACGCAATCTGCTTTGAAAGATTCGAAATTGTCGTTGTTGCATGCATTCTTTCAGTTGATTTACATCGAAGGTTGTCGGTTGAAGCGGGGAACTACCGCTGCTGCTGCTGCTGCTGCTGCTGCTGCTGCTGCTGTTTCAATTGCAGTTTTAACTCTTTGTCTAACACTTTTTGCATGCCATTTTGTCTCTTTGTGTGTACTTGCTTCACATAGCCTTCCTCTGCTGCGGCATCGTTTTGGAAACAGCTTATGGCTCTGGGTCGACTGTCTGTCTGTCTCTCTGTCGTCTGTTCGTTTAGGCAATTACGCAGTGCCGCCTCCTACACCCCCGCGCTCACCCTCACCCTCACCCTCTCACTGTGCAATCTTTTCTCCTGCAAACAAATGCTAATAAGCATTAAATTATGAAAAGATTTTGTTCGTTTGCAGGCCAGTCAGGCCATAAATGACGAAATTTAAGCGCCCATATATTTATAGCCCAGACTTTTTGCACTGGAAAACTAAGTGCTAACTGCTCCGCAGGCCAGGGGCCAGGGCGCCGCGTTGTATGGAGAAGCTGCTGCGTTTTGGCCATTTTTATTGGCAAGTCGCGCAGTTGCATAAACATGGCCAGCACAGGCCAACGAGGCAGCCGACGACAACGGCAAATGGAAAATTGTTCAGCCGGGCAGCTCTCTGCTCTCTGCTGTCTGCTCTCTGCCGCTGCTTCTTTTTTGAGTACTCAGCTGCTGCAATGCTGACTGTACCCATCATGCAGATGACTGTACCCATCATGCTGATGATCTTTCAGCTTAAACAAGAGAAAACCGCAAGGCGGCAGAGCGAAAAGGTGTTCAAAGAATATTAATTTAACTTTTTTACAACATATTTTTGGATATTTTCAGTGCTTTGTTATTAGGTTTGATTTTTATTTCGGTCTGGCTTTTTTCCATCTTAAACTCCCCGATATTCCATCGAAATGGGACGACCCACTGCCAGGGTATCCAAAGCTGCGACCCTGAGAACATTTCGCCCTTCCACATGGCTGTTTTTGTTGTTGTTGTGAAACAAATGAAACTAAAAACCAAAAACTCAAACTAGAAGAACAAAACGAACACAAAAAAGTAGAACGCCCAAATGGCTCACCGTCCATAAAATCGTCAAACAAATTGAGCGAAGCAAACGTCAACGCACGCAGCGCTTTTCCAGCTTTTCCAACCTGCCGGCCCTGCACCCTTGCCCGAACCCCCACCCCCACCCCCACCCCCACCAGTCCAGTGAGTTTTTCCAATTAGTTATTAACTGAATTGTTCAGAGGGGGGTAGCCAACGGGCAGACAGCTTAAATATGCCCAGATATGCCCCTCCAAGCGAAAACAGGTACAGCAGCAGGCCCCAGTGTGGGAAGGTTGAGGTGGAAATGGAGCTCAAAGGAGGGACATTAGTTAAGTGAGTGTAAGTGGCAATAGTAGGACTAAACTTGGCTTAAAACTTGGTCCAGTATTTGGACCAAAACTGAAAGGGGAAATCTATACCTTTTGCCGCTCTTCCGCTGCTATCCTCTATGCCGGTAAATCCATTCATTTTATTCACAAATTGTTTTGAGCTCATAGAGATTAATACCAAACCAGTCAGCGTTGAGTGAATGCATTTTGGTCGGAGAGTAATAAATATAAATTGAAGTTCCACTTTTTTTTCTGGTGGATTGTTTGCCTTTGGCCTAAATTGAAATGGGATTTGTTTGACTTCTCTCTGGCAGTGCAGCATTTTCCTCGCTTTCGTGTTTATTTTTTCATTTAGTTGTTGTTGAATGTTGAATGTAGACCCAACCTGATTGGATGTACAGGAAAAGAGATAAAGGTAGCTGCTGATGTGTATGTTTAGGAGGAAGCCAACTATGAAAATATTGAAAACAATTCTAGAACGAAGGAAGCATAAAATAGGCGCAAGGGGAAGGATATAGAGTAGTAGAGGGATCGGGATCGGGAAACATTAAAGATAATCATGAGTACAAAATGACTGCATCCGGAATTATAGGAACTCTTCAGAGTAGAACAACTTAAGAGTAAGTTTCTATCTTTTGCTGCATCTTTTGTGTAAATATCAACGGCAAACCGCACCGTACGTATTCCGTAACCGTGTCTGCTGCCGTGAGAGAGTGGAGTGCAGTGAATCTCTGTGTGAATGTGGAACGTTGGTGGCGCGACCGAATTGAAGCGCGTTATTTGAATTCGATTTCTTCTCTGAATTTTAACAGCAACGTGTTAAATGAATGCCAACACAAAACGGGGAGAGACTTAGACTCGGACTCGGACTCGCTCAGCTTCGAGTCGGCAGTTTGGTCTTCATCTCTAACGACGACCAACACCGCCAGGTACCTAACACGATCGACGCTCTCCAAGTGCTATGTACCCAGGCAATGAACCAATACCCCCCCCCGTCCCACATGCTTGCATATGTATCGGCACCTCCATGTCCATGTCCATGTCCATCTATCTGTACTTCTTTCTCTATCTCTCCTCTACCTTTATTCTGTTTGTGTATTCTGTTGCGACTTCTCTTCGTGACGTTGATCTGCTCTACATGAAGCTGTCACCGATCGACGTGCATCCCACATCCACATCCGAATTTTGGGTATCTCTTCTGTCCATCTCCATCTCCATCTCCATTTCTATCTCTCTCTTTCGCTTTCTTAAACTTATGCACGTATCCGATCCATTTATTTTGGGGGGCAGACTGTTCCACATATTGATCAAACGTGTGCAAATACGATCCAATTTAAATATTTATTATCTTTGCAGTTCGTTAGCATCTTGTACATACATTTTTACATATTTACATTTTGGCTTCTGGCAGGAGCGTAGTGGGAGATGCTGGGGGGGGGCTAACCTACATTCTAATTGTGTGAACTAGGAGGCATAGGAATTTACAGAGTTTTATTGTTTTTTTTTGGGGGGGGCAAAGCACCCCATCTAGCCCCCTCTCTAAGCTAAGCCTCTGACTGGCTTGGTGGCCTCAATATGCAATGGGACTCATTTCTCGTCAAAGATCTTCATCCGAAGGGTTTTCCATCACCGAAAAAAGTGAGAAATAAACAAAAAGAAGTAGAAGTCGAAAAAGGAGGAAGTATCGAAAGATAAAGTACAAACGAGGAAGAGGAATAACTGATTATACAATCGATTTGAACAATTGGCGCCGCCATGTCCCAGTTGCTGGCTTGATGGGGCGGGGAAGGGGACCGGGGTCTGTCTGTGGTTGGGGCAGTACTTAACGCATGTTAACGTTGACGCCGACTCCATTTGCACGCCTGATTGTTATGTATATGGAGCAAGGAAACCTAAAGGTAGAGCCAACACCAGAGACTGAGGGAAAGAGCGAGCGAGAGACAGGGAGACAGGGAGATGCAGTGGTGGAGCCAGTGGCAGTCGGGGGTTTCATGTATGGGGAAAAAAATAGCAACAATTCGATTTGCATTCGCAACAGAACGAAATGCATTAGAAAAATGTTTGTTCCTACTCGGGTGCGAGAGCATTATGACTTTGACCAGAAGTGTGTAACACATGGAGGATATCATCTACGAGCCGGGCTCTCTGCGAACACCTTGATGTGTCCGTTCGTTTATGGGAACGTTGTACAGCGAATTCTTGAATATGTCCTTGAATGCAAATTGATAGGCTGGAAGGGTATACATGAGAAAGCTTCGCTACCCGTTCAATATCTTCTTTATCTCTTGTTTTGTTACTGCTTCAGTTGCTGTTGCCGTTGCCCGTTTCTGTTGTTGTTGTTATTGTTATTGGAACTGCTGATAAAAGAAAAGCCCCCAAAACTAATTAACGCCTGCAACGTGTTTTCCTGACTGTACATTTGTATGCGCATGTGTGTGTGTGTGTGTGTGTGCGGTTGATTGTGTAAAACGAAAATGTGCGAAAGGGATGGCCACAATGAGCGGGTGTGTGTGTGTGTAAATGCCATGTCTACCTTCATGGAACTGGCTGTATTTTTATCTGCTAATTAAACACAGACGCTCGATTGGGACAACAGCAGCAACAATCAGCGGCAGCCCGCTTAAAGCCAACGACGTGGCCATATGGAATACACACACACACACACATAAATGAGTAACGTAACTACACATGTGTATGCGAGAATGTACAAACAAAAATACGTGCATCCATACGTACATATTCCATTACATATTGCTGACGCCGGCAAAAGAAAATCCATGCACACTCTACATGACATGGACAGTGTAAGCTTTGCAGGCGAGGATAACGCCTGCCAGCCAAAGCCATCGTCTTCGTCTTTTCCTCTCTTAAAATAATATAACTGTACGCGCGCTCTCTCGCTCTTCTGCTCTCATTGTGAACTGATATTTTACATGGCAGTGCGGCAGCGCAAGGGTCTGCTGAACAGCAGGTACGGTAGTTCCTTGCTCCCCACTTCCCTTTAGTGTCGCTGCTGCGTTCCTTATTTTAGGAAACGCAAAGCTTATTGGCACCGCCGAGTGGCGGCAGAGGCGCGTCTCTCTAACCCCACTTACCTTCTATTGCATATGCCTTGGGCAAACGCCGCCGCTGCGGAGAGCGAGCGCATACAGCTCGCCGCTGAGAACAAACAAAGTGAGCAAAATGAGCAAATAAAGCGAACGTTGTCGTCGTCTGCATCATCACACACACACACACACACACACATACAAAAACATTAACAATTCTGAAAAAATAAAACAAAAAAATAAATAAGGGGAAAAAATGAAAGAAAATAAATAAAAGCAACAACAAACGTCGCTTAATTTCAAGTTAAATAGCCGACGCGCATTATTTGAGTTTTGAAATGGAGAGCAAGTCGAAGTTGGTTACACTACCGCGACATGCACACGTGTGTGTTTAGGGTATGTATACATGCATACATATGTACATATTCAAAGCACATACTCAATGGCATGGATATGATGGATGTCTTTCCATTTACCTAATCTCACTCACTCTCTCTGTCTCGCAGTGCAGGGAGCGCGATCATCAACACCTCTCTGTCTCCCATACTCGAACTTAGTTCACCCAATCCCCCCACCCACACCGACAGCCAGGCTGCAGTCTGCGCTTCGCTTACAGTACGACAGGAGCAGGAGTCGCCGTCGCCGTCGCCGTTGCCAGCTTCGTTAGCAGCGAGCGATCTTCACCTGCTCTCCTCCTGCTCTACTGCACAACCAAACTTGCTGATTGCGCTGCCACGGCCTGCTGGCTGCTGCTATCTCTGTCTAACGCCGGCAACAGCTCCGCTTCGGCTCTGCGCTTCACAGTATCGGTAACGGGCGGCTCGGTTTCGGTGTCAACTTCGGCTATGTGGGTTCTCAGCATTCTGATATTTTCACCCAACGCCCATTGCACGTTCAGTTCATTCCTCGATCGGTCGCGCAGCGGTAAAGTCATATATCTGGCCAGTGCACAGTGCAACCCTTCTGCTCCCGCTGGAGAGAGAGACTACAAATCTACAACGAATATAAAATGAAAGAAGAACATTTTACTCATTCCTGTTAACGTTTATTTTGTTGGTTAAAGCATTTATTTTTTTTGTGTCTGCCTTTTATTTGAATTGCTTACAACCGCGCGTTGTCGTACACAAAACGCGCAATCATCGCCGTCTTCAAGTGAAAATTAACCGATCTCCATTTCAATTTTCAACTTCAACCTTGCCATTTATTTTTTGACAATTTTTTTTTGCTTGTGAGAATAACTGCAAACTGGAAGAAGAAAGAACAAAAAAACTGTTATCGAATGACTAGCGCGGGAAAAAACGAAGGCACAAATTCTGCCGAGTTGCCAGCCCGAAATTGGAAACGAAAAACGAAAAACGAAAATTGCCACAAATGCTGACAAGTAACTGTAAGTGGAAGGGATGGGCACGAAAGGGAAAGAGGAGCCGCTGCAGATTGGAGGCAGTTCTAGCCCAGTGTTAAGAATATCAAAATGTGTTCAGATCCATCGATACAAAAGAAAATGGGATTAATCTAATTGCACTCCAATTAGAGCACACAAATCGCATTCTATTTAGTTCACACACAAAATAAATCGCAGAGCGCGAGATCATTCTAAGTTTTCCTACTTTATACTTTTTTTTTTTTGTGGCTGTGCTCGTTGGCTGCTGTGCTGCCTGTTGCTGCTGTTGCTGCTGTTGCTGTGGGCGACAGTGTTTTGGCCCGCCTTGACATTCGACTTTTGTGTCGACTTGACATCTTCTCTTATTAACTATGTAATTTTCCCTTTTGTTTTATTGCACTGCATACACTAACTTATTATTATTTTTAGTATTACTCATTTGTGTAGCCCCGCGCAACCGTCCGGGCTTGGGGCAGGGGCACTGAAGTGCTGTTCATGTCAAATTTGAGCGCTTTGCTAAATTGCAAAAAAACAAAACAAAAAAAAACGCGAGATGGGCACGTTTTTTATGTTGTCTGTCGGTGGAGGAGATACCCTAACCTGAAGTTTGGGGCCTTAACCAGTCAGGCACTATTTTTCCTTATCCGGGAAGCGAAAGTGAGAGATTCAGGTTCATGTAGAGAAAGTGGCGTCACCCAATGTTTCCGCTCGTTTTGGGCTCGCTTTGATTCCATTCGATTTGGAATTCCTTAGATAAGGATATGGGAACTTTCCACAGGTCGTGTTTCCGTATCAATCCCTAATTGACCCATTTCTTATCGCCGCTTTGGCTTTGCCCGCTATCAAACAATTGTTCACTTTCCATTAAACGCGTATTCCCATTAGCCCTCCTGGCGGGCGTTGGATTCTACAGAAAAAGTGTTCTGCTCGACATATTTTTTCGCTGCATTCCAGGGGCAACTGTTCCCATCGTCTGCGAGCCTCGTCTCCGATTAGCTTTCAACACAAAATTCTCGGTATTTGCTGGCCTGGCCCTCTGTTTGAATTTCGTCTGAGCATAAAGTAAACCAAAGACCCCAATAAAATCCAAACCAACCCAAAACCCAAAACCCAACCCAAACCCAAGCCAAGCGCATTCTGTTAGATTCAGTTACGGATCAGAATCAGAGTGCGGTTCCCTTGGGTCCCATTACCACTTCCCATAGACCAAACATACATCTGTACAGGGCAAATGCAGAGGGGGATTCAACAATATTCCATCCAAAAACACACTCTCACAGGAGGCAGCAATCGCTTAATGTTTATTCATGCCAGAGAGTTGATGGTGAGCTGCCGCCCCTCGTGTTTTGAGCACCACCCAATGGATATGCTCGCAGTTGCTGTGTGTGCGGACCGATTAGATAAGAAGTCGGTGTCGGTGTCGGTGACTAAAGCGAAAGCGATCTCAGTTCAATATTGATCGAGTAAGCCGCAATGTTTGTTTATACATAAGAATTTCCTTGATAAGCGGGGGGCCCCCAGGTCTTTTACCCTGCCATATGCCAAGAGTACACTCGGATGCCGATTTCCACTCCCCAAAAGTTCCCATTTCGTGTTGTACATATGTTTGCGTGGCTATGGGCTGTATGGGCTCTATCTTCTTGCTGACTATCTGTTTTTACCCACTTCCGGCTTTTAGGCGCCTCCTCCTAACCCATACCCATCTCCGCCATGCAACAATTAACCTGTTGAGCCGAAACCCCAACTCTTAGCCACTCAGCATTATCATTTTATCTTATCGTTTGGTTTTTTGGCTGGTTTATGGTATGGTAACCATAAGGCGTGGACATCCATCCACCCCCCCCTCTAGACACACACCAACACAGACCCGACTATCATATCGTATCATATAGCAGGCGGTATGGCTGATCGATTGTTTGGAGAGAGAGAGAGATCGCTGGCCTCAAAAACTGTAGTCCGGAGCCCGTTGCCGGGCCAGCATGAAACATTTTTGTTCACTAATATTTGTTTATGAGACGCGAGACGCGAGACGCGAGACACACACAAGTGTTTCCAGTGCTACATCTGAGCCGTTCTCTGATAGCCCAGTTTGTACAAGTGTCTTTTTCGGTAATGCCCTAAGCCCAACACAGAGGGGAATATAATTACACAGTCGTGAGGAGACTGTAGAAACTGTAGACCCGTAGACTAAACAAATGTCTGGGTGGACAAACAAAACCAAACCAAGTCGAAGTCGAAGTCGTTGTCGAAGTCCCTTTCTCCTCTTTGCTTTTCTTGTTTAAGTTTCAGTTCTGTGACTTGGCATCCAATTCTTGTGCGCTTCCTAACTTGAAGATAAGCAACTAGAACCTTCTGGAACCTAGAACTAGCCTATAAATTGCGGGAAACCTTATATCCGACAGATTTAGAGTATCTGTAAATGTTGAACCAGCTCTTGCAGCTGTTCTTCGATCTACTTTTCAATCGTTCTTTGCTTCCCCCCAACTAGTTCATTCCTTCTCCCGAAATCTACTGGAAGTCTACCGCTCTCCTGTGACCTGGCACGCCGCCTATGTATCCATGAATCATGGCTGCCTCTGCATTATTTATCGCTCTACACACAGACACAATTGGAGTAAATTTGTAATTAACCATTTTGCCATTTTTCAAATATTTATTTCGTGGCCCGTTTCCCGTTGCTGCTTTTTGTGTTCCACGTTTTTTGTTTTTTTACTGCCTCTACAGCCATTTTGTTGGGTGTTAGCCCGCTTAGCGGTCTCGTCATGGGTTTTATGGGGATTTTGTTGCTGGAACCTTATCGCAGAGCGGCTGTCAGCGGCAGCAGCAACAGCAACAGCAACAGCAACAGCGCGGCAGAGCCAGCAACGTCAGCGGTCCGCCATCTTTGCTCAACTCATCCATAAACTCATTAACGCGCGAATGTCTCACGCGCTGACAACGCCACCGCCCCACCTGCTTTGCCCCGCCCTTAGCCATTAGCGTCTGCCAATTGACCTGGTTTGAGCTGCTGATGAGCCGCAGGAGGGGCTGCGGGCGGTGGCAGGACGCACATAGGTGACGACATAGGCATGCGCAAAAGGTGCTAGATTTAAGCCTCATCCGGGTTTCGAGTTACAACTGCAAAGTGGTCCTCCTCCTGCCCCATGTTCCGACGTATTCCACGCATACCAATCCATTCCAATCATTCCTGGCAGCACGCGTGGGTACAGTGGGAATGAAAACGATTCCTGGCGAGGATCTGAAAATAGGAAACATTTTTGCGTTTGGGGTTTGAGTTTGAGTTTCTAATTTTGTTTGTGTTGTCAAATCTCTTTCATTTCATTTTGTTTCTTTTGAATATTTACAATGGGTTTAATCCCTACTTTCTCCTCGATTTTCAATCCACAGAAACAAACACAGCGGCAGACCGCTGAGGAACAGAATGTGGAGGATAGCTGGGAGTGCTGGGACGACACTGGCGATGCATCGGATGGACAGGGAGATGCCGCAGCAAACACGGGATCGGGACTCGTGGACATAGCACTGGGCAACGGCGATGTGTCCCGCCTGAGCGCTCGCATCGCAGAGTTGGAGCAGCACAATGGACAGCTGAACGCCTCGCTGGAGGAGCTGGACGCTCAGCATGAGGCGGCCATGCAGGATGTGCTGGCACGCAAGAAGCAGCTGCAGGGGCAGGTGGAAGAGCTGCGACAGCTGCAGGCGGATCGCATGGTCGAGCACGAAATGGCCATTGCGCGCCAGCAGAAGCAGCTGGAGGAGCGCTGCAAGGCGGAGAGCTCGCTGGCTGCGGCCAGGGAGGAGCTGCAGCAGCAGCTGGAGCAGCAGGCGCTGGCGCTGAAGCGCGGTGTGCTGGAGCTGGCCGAGATGCAGGAGCTGCTGGAGAAGCGTGGCGCGGACAACAATGAGCTAATCGATCGAGTCCGCCTGGCCGAGGCGGAACGGGAGAAGCTGCTCAAGGAGCTCGATGAGCTCAAGCTGGCCAAGGAGAAGAAAACCTCCGAGTCGTCCTCGAACAGCTCCTCCACCTCCACGAAGCACAGCGAGGATGAGTTCATTGTGGTGCGACAGGCAGATGCCGCTTCCGGCTGTGGCTCTGGCTCTGGCTCCGATCCCGACCCCGATCCGGATCCCACCCAGCCGCCGTCCAAGGAGAAGCTGCGCGACAGGCTCGTCCAACTGGAGTCTCGCATCGCGGAGCTCAGTCTGGCCAATGGCCAGCTGCAGGATGCTCAGCTGGAGAAGGAGCTCTCCTCCAGCCTGCTGAGCGAGCAGCTCGCCGAACTGGAGTCCCGCCTCCGCATCAGCGAGGCCGAGAAGGAGCAGCTGCAGCTGGACGTGCAGTTCAAGCTGCAGCAGCTCACCATGCAGAATCAGGTGCTGAAGCTGAACGCTGAGGCTGAGCAGGAGACGCATTCGCACGATTTTGAGCAGCAGCTGGATGCCCTGCGCGCCGACAATCGGCGTCTGCGGCAGGAGCTGGACGCCAGCATAGCACAGGCCAAGTTCCGGCAGGCCATTGCCGAGGAGAAGCAGGAGATAACCGACCTGGACGATGCCGAGGATGATCTGGAGAAGCTTCGCTCTCTGCTGCAGGCCCAGATCGAGGATCGCCTCGCCACAGCCGCACCGCAGCACAGCCTGGAGCGAGCCTATCGTGTCCTGAGTGAGCGCTGGCAGCGCCTCGACGCCGCCGAGCAGCGGCTGGGCGAGCTGCAGGAACAGAAGCGGATCAGCGAGCACGAAAAGAAGACCCTGGAGGCAGACATCTCGCAGTACATTCTGCAGTGTGACGAGCTGATGAAGAACAACGAGCTGCTGCTCAACGAACTCGACAAGTTCAAGCGCAACAAGCTGGAGACCATCGAGGAGCATCACGAGGAGACCATCGTGCAGCTGGAGGGTCAGCTGGAGGAGGCCCGACAGCGCCTTGAGATGGCGCACGAAGCGCAGAAGCGGCTTCAATCGCAGCTGGATGCGGTGGAGAGCGACAAGGAGAAGGAGCTAAAAGAGAGCCAGAGCAGGCTGGACCAGAAGGGCTCACAGCTGGAGGAGGCACGGCAGCAGATCGAAGAGCTCCAGTGCCAGCTGGCAACGCTTCAAGATCAGCTACGTGCCAAGGATGAGCGGTTGGAGCAGCTCCAAGAGCAGATGCAGGCCAGGGACGAGCAGCTAAGCACAATCCAGCAGCTGGGAGAGCGAGAGAATGAGCAGATCATCGATCTGGAGAGGCTCAAAGAACAGATCCAGGCCAAGGACGAGCAGCTGGAGCAGCAGGCCACAGATCTTGAGCAGCTGAAAGAACAGCTGAGCAGCCTGCAGCTGAGCGCGGATCAGTGGAAGAGTCAGCTGCAGCAGAGCAACGACAGTCACGCCAAGGAGAAGGGAGACCTGATCCAGGCGCTCCAGCAGAAGCATGCGGAGAACACTCAGTACTATGGAGAGATCCAGCGGCTGCAGCCCTTCGAGCAGCAGCTCGGAGTGCTCGTTCGCGAGCGCGAGAAGCTCGAGGATCAGTTGCGGCGAGTGCAGGAGCTCAAGGAGAAGTCCGACATGCGCATTGCGAGCCTGCTAACAGAGCAGAGCAGTCAGGCGCAGGCTTCCCAGGAGGCACTGGAGCAGCAGGCGAGCATTCAGCGCGACTTGGAGCGTCTTCGTGCCCATCTGCTCGAGGTGGAGGAGCTGCACACTCAAGAGACGGTGGAGTTGCAGCGCGAACTGGACGAGTCGCGCACCAAGCAGTCGGTCCTGCAGCATGAAGTGTCCAAGTCCTGTACAGCCTACACATCAGCAAGGTAAGTTTTGCGTCGGGAACGGGGAGCAGGGAATGGGGTTTGAGCTGGGGATTTGGTTGGGTTGCGAGGTTCACCTTGCGATGACATTTGGAATGCTAATTGCATTATGTTATGGTGTACGATAAGCGACACGAAGCGTGACAGAGTCCAGACGGCACCACACACTAATTGCATTCACCATGCCACACCATACACCCACCCACCCACTTGCCACCTATTTCCACCGCTTCGCATTAGGGCGTACAAATTGCCGAAGGCTACAGCTTCCGCTATTGATTGTACAATCGATTAGACACGCTGCTACCTCTTATATAAAACGCCCTTATGCTGGGGGAACACAACTCAAGCTAATGCCGAACGTGGCATCAGGTGCCGCCAGATGAAGCGGAATTATCGATTGTTGTTGCCACTAGTCGGCAACGCAGTGCAATATTCAATGGATCTGGCAGCACAACAGCTCTGGGCAGTGGAAACACAACACAGATGGCGCTGCAGAGTAAAGATTCTTATGGGATTTTAACCCTTAGACCCACCCACAACTCACGATTGTCCCTCAATCCTCTTTAATCAACATGCAGCATTCGGGCGAATCAACAGGCGGAGACGCTGCAGGCACAGCATGCCCTGCTGCAGCAGCAACGTGACGACTTGCTGGCCAAATTGGGGCAGTGCGAGGATCGTGAGATGAAGCAGCAGGCGGCACTGACCAATCTGCAGTGTGCACTGGAGCAGTTTCAGAATGGTAAGTACTTGCCACACACACACACACACACACACACCCAGGAGCATAGCATAACACCCTGCACGCTTTCCCCCGCAGACAAGGAGCACGACATTGAGATGGCCACGCAGCGCATTCGTCGCGAGATGCAGGCCCACGTGGACAGGCAGGATCAGCTGCAGGCGGAGATGGAGGCCATGCAGCAGCAATTGGCGGAGGCCAATCAGGGATTGCGGGCGGCGGCGCGCCTCTCCGATCAGCTGGAGGCGGGACAGCAGACGATCGCCGTGCTCCGGGATGAAGGTGAGTGAGCCCTCGGGTGGGCTGCAGGCTGCCAACTCTTGACTAACCCCCAACCAGCTGCAACCGTGAGCTCTCACAATGTACCTAACCCCCCGTAGTCATAAAAGCTAACCCATGGTGTCGCCCTGCCCCGCTACGCCCCGCACTCTGAACCACTAACATTACGAGCTGTTCCTATCGATCACGCATCCTAAATTGCACTCTAAGAAAACTGCCGCTAACTGTTGATTGTGAATGAATGAGAACTTAAGAGAGAGAGAGAGAGAGAGCGCGAGATAATGTCAGGGAGAGAGTGTGCCTGTGTATGTGTGAGAGAGAGACTGAGAGACTGAGAGAGCGAGTGCCAGAGTAAGCGACGTCACGATTCACCTCACAATTCTCAAAGGTAAATATCAGCTGGTAATTCTGGGAGGCTAAGCAAAATATGAAACACTCGGAATTTCAGTTGGTATCGACTTTTTTGAATTGCATTTTATCACCAAAGCGCAAAGACAAACAAAAGCACACCAAAACCTAAAGAAAGAAAAACAAAACAAAAAAAAAACTCGCAAAATTTGCACCGAACGGCACGTGGCAAAACAAAACAAAAAAAAAATACTGTATTGGCTGTAACTACAAGTTGCTCATCTCAGCATCAGGTAAACTACAACATTTTGCTTACACCCTGCGTCACTGTCCCCACTATCCACCCCCAAAATGCAACGGTGACAACCGTACTTGCACTCCCCTTGCCAAGCCTTACCGTCCGTCTGCTTGGCTCTGCCAAGGTGAATTTACCAGCAAGGGGCTTGTTCAGAGCAAAGCGCGAGAAAGGGAAAGCGTTAGAGACCGTCTTGGACCGTGCTGAAGACGTCACCTTGCAAAGTAAATTCACCTTGATCTGTGCACTGCAACTTACTTCCCAAGAAAACAAAGCAAGAACCTGGCAAAATATAAACACTCTAAACTGGTGCTGGCAATCACACACCTACAATCCAAATCCAAATAGTATTTAATTTAAGGCGCCTACAAAATATTAGTTTGCTTTATGTGTGATTTTTAGCTTTGATTATCTTTGTTGTTGTTGTTGTTGTTGTTGATGTTTGGAACTGTGACACTGTCACCCTCTCCCCACACAGCTTTTATCACTCACTCCTTGCCCTGCCCTGTATATCGAGACTTTGTCACGATTTGTATATGTTTTTTATTTGAATTTTGTAACTATACTTTTGTTGCTTACTGACCTTTATGATTTAATGCATTTTCTATTTGCTTCTGTTGATTTTTGTTATATAATTTGATTGTGATGTGATTGTGATTATTTGATTAGAGAAGAGAAGAGAGGAGAAGAGAACAAAAGACGACCGTACAAATCGTAAATCAGTTCGTAAATCGTATTATTCCGTAATTCGTAAACCGTAACCCGTAACCCGTAATCCGTACAAAAGAAAACATGAAAAAATACGAAGAGAGAAGAGAAGAGAACCGCTCGATGAAAAGCCAAACTGTATCTGCAGCATTGAATAATCTCAATTTGTAAATGTGAGCGATTTGAGGCATTTGACACACTCACTTTGCAATTGGAGATTGCTCGAGACTGCGGCATATGCCACATTATGTATACCACACACTCACAGCCACACCCAAACACACACACACACACACTTATCTATCTATAGTCCCCTTTGCATGTCTATATATATCTTAACATATATATACAAATATTTACTTACTTTTTCCCACCTATTTGCTCTCTGTTGTCGCCCGCCTAGCCTGAATTTTGATTTGTCTTTCCGTTTTGTCGTTTGATCGTATTTATATCGTATTCGCTTTATTGATTTGCATTGGAGAGTAGTTAGGCCCCCAATTGTCCAGGGAATCGAGCCAGCCAGCCAGCCAGCCATACAGACAGCACCAAAGCCACTCGCAGCCGCCAAACATTCGCTAACCATTCCGCGACGCGCTTCCAGGAACCAAGCAGCGTCTGTACGGTTGAGTATTACATCAGGTACTGGTGTGCTTTAAATTCAACAACCAGTACTTATGTTATACTACGCCGTGCACTGATCGCACTAACCGCATGCCAAAAGCCCAAAGCCCCAGCCCCACAGGCGCGCGCGCTCTTTAAACGGATTTTAGACCTAAGATTGAAGAATAATTATCCGATAGCCGATATCGTCCCGCACAAATGGTTGAATCGCACTAATATTAACGACTTGTTTGTATATTTTATATGCTAGTGGAGAGCCTGAAGGAGGCGAACGATCAGCTGGAGCAGAGGCTCAACAGCAGCGAGAGCAGCCAGACGGACAAGATCGACAAGAGCCTGATCAAGAGCCTGCTGATAGGGTATGTGGTGAGCGGTCATGCAGGGGACAAGCAGCAGGTGCTGCGCCTGATATCCTCCGTGCTGGACTTTACCGCCCAGGAGTCCGACAAGGTGGGTCTGAATAAGCAGCAAAGCAGCTGGCTGGGAGCCATACTTGGCGGAGGACCAGCGTCGGGCAGCTCAGGTATGTGCACAAATGGTGGAATATCTCTCTTGCTGAATTCATTTCTAATTTGACATTTTTAGCCCCTGGTCGCGGTAATGAGAATCTAGTGCAGGCATTCGTGCAGTTCCTCGAGCAGGAGTCACAGCCACAGGCAGCGACACAAACGAGACCGAACCTTCTCAGTATGACTGGCCAGGTGGATACGACGACGACGACGACGACACCGCCACCGCCGCACCCACAGACTGGGCAAGGGCAGGGGCATGTTGCCACAGCAGTGCCCGCGGGCCAAGACCATGGATCAGCGCCACCACCATCAGCATCTCCGCCTGCAACTGGCCCTGCACATTCGCTGTCCATGAGCTCCAATGAGTTTGCACCCTCACGCAACTCCAGTTCGATATTGAAGGATATTCTCAGCGATTCTTGATTCTTGTAGAAAGCCAAACCAAATGGCTCGACCCCCCTACTCCACTACTCCACTTCGCCTTTGCTTTTGAATCATTTTAAAGCGTATTTTTTGTCTTCTATATATGTAACCCAAACAAACATAACGACGCATATACATAGGCATATGTATCTCCGTGTATGTTACATATAACAATATATATTTCTAGTTATATCAGTCCCTCCCTTGTGCAATGTCTGTGTATGTGTGCAGCATTAGAAATGTGTAAATATGTAATAGCCAACATGAGTACGATGCCCTGGCAGCATTTCGGGGGGTGCCTCCCGAACGCCTGCTGCCATGGACAAGCCTTCGCAGGGGCCTTGCTAACAAGTAGCCTAGCCGCCAACCAATAAACGAATCAACAACAAACAACCACAGAGGCACATTTATGTTTATGTAATTTAATTGATTGAGTAAAGGCTCATAATCCTCAGCTTCTCTTGAGCATTTAACCGGATGTTGAAGTGTGAAGAACCCATTTGGAGCTGGATCTTGGACCAACGATGGATTCAAACTTCTTTACACTTTTTTACGGCTCAGCAAACAACAAACTGACTTTGAAGGCGACCACTTTGAAGGTACCGGACAGCGCTATCGAATATAAAAGAAAGAGAATTCGGATGCCAGAATGGAAGCCGCTTTTCTGCTGCACGTAAAAGCATCTTTTAGCCAGATATGATTTGATTAATAAACAGTACGGAGCAGGTGGCCATTTCTTTAACTTGTACATCGCTTGTTGAACATCAAGAAATGCAGCAGTGCAGTGACCCTGTGACCTCCTCTCCTGAATCCGAATTGCTATTCAGGAATGATGGAAAGCTCGTCCAAAATTGGCAACATTCTCTTCAATAGTCTTTTTTCAAACACTTTCGAGCATGTCCAGGCTTAAAGCTGAGTCTAAATAGCTTTTAAATGCGTAGAAAGCCTGTAGAGGCTGTAATGACTTTAGAGCTATTTTCCAACATATGAATGAACATGAGAATGTTCTGAGTTAAGGTCAAAGCTCTCCATTACTCGCATGTGTGATTGTCAATCAAATCTGGAAGTTGTCCACTAGTTTTCCACAGTTGACAAAGTTGTTATGTTATTGTTTCGTATGCATTCCGATCCCTTCGGGCTAGTTAATCTGGATCCCCACCATGGATGTTTGGCATTCCCAGTCCTTGGAAAAAGTTTTTCAAATCGAGTGCATACATTTGATCTGAACTGTGGCAGCCTGCATGGCGTTTTCCCTAGTAAGTACTGTCCATGATGTGAAATTGAAGGCCCTGCTTGGCAATAATTGCAGCACCTCCATGAGCTCTATCCGATGGATGGTCAGCTCTTACTGTGTCGTATCCACTAACTCTAAAAAGAGATTTGCTAGTGAAGTGTGTTTCGGAAAGCCCAGTGGCATTTCATACTCCTAAGTTTAGAGACAAGAGACTTGTTTGAGGCACTTTTTCCTGCAGCCACTTGAGCGTAGGATTGGTAAATAAATACTAAAAACAAGCCACAAGTCTGCTAATGCAATTTGTGCCTGGTCAATGGCGGACTCATCGTCTGCGACCAACCAACTTCGCTGTAGCGATTAAATTAACAACAAACAAAAGGAAAAACATAACTATCGATAATCTATCGTGGACCAGCGATCGATAGTGCAAGTGAGAAAAAATACATTTAAAGAAAAATGTGCAAAAATAAATCTTAAACTCCTATAAAATATCTAAAATAGTGCTTGGAGAGCCCCTCGCAGGATAGATCAAATGCTTTCCAGTTTAAGTACACGCAATACAATACTGCCGCCTTTTTTGAAGTTTTTATTTGTTTGATTTCTACACATCACACTTAGTAGGTTTGCCTATAACATTTCGATAAACTCTTTGAAATCTTTTGCTAAAACACACTTGGGATTTGGGATTTGGGATTTGGGATGCATACACATAAATATACATTAATAGATACTGGCTATGGCTGGATGTATCCTCCAACATTGGATCTAAATTGGATCTGAAAGATCTGTGGGGGAGAAAACTGATTTACTTTACTTAACATTTACTTTTCGCTCTCCGCGCACATTTCAATATCCTTTTCATGTTCATTTTCATACTTCGTTTTTTGCTTGTTTGTTTGTTTTTTTTTTTTATAAAAAATATACAATTATAAATATAAATATGTGTGTATATCATGTATTGCATGTACACTTAGACGTTTCAAAAAGACAGGGAAAAAAGTATACTCTTCAAATGGGTTTTTTTGCGTTTTGTTTTTTGTTTTTCGATTTCGATTGGTTTTGTTGTTTGTTTTGTTCAATAAATTAGTAGAAAATACTTGTGTTTTTGTTTTCTATATATAAAAATACAATAGGGTCCATAGGTTTCATCTGAAATATACTCCAAAAATTGTTTGCTGTATATTTGTTTTCACTGCTTTCCATTTTGTTTTGGTTTTCGTAGCGGAAAATTGAGTTGCCTTAAGCGTGGAGTGTGGCAAAAAAGATGATACAAAAGGCGTATAAAAACGATTGGGAGCGATACAGATAGAGATAGAGAGATAGAGAGAGAGGTGTGCGCGCGTGTGTGTTGGCTGCAAGCAGTCGATAGCCAAGCAGTGCAGTTCCACTTTCCGTAGCATACTTTTGTGCTGCAGCTGCGCATGGATTAACTACGCCTTAACAAACACACACACATACACACACATGCTCCTGCATATATCTATTTATGATCAACATGAACAACAACAATTGCATACAGCTAGATAATATCCACTCGTTTGTTTCACACACAAAAAAAAAGAGTTTGGTTACATTTATGTATAAGATAATTCCAACATGCGCCCACGGTCCACGGATATTTCGCTGCTCTACTCGGACAACATTTAAAGCCAACGATTTCAGATTAGTTTTGCTTACATTAGAGCTGCTCCTTGCACCAGCAAGCGGTAATTATGCTAGGCGACAAAAAAAAAAAATAAAAAAAAATAAAAAATAAAATAATTTACAGGCGGCAGGGTGTGGGGCAAGGAGCAGACACATATTTACACATTTACATTATATATAGGGGGGCTACAGCTAAACAACTTGCTAATACATTTAAATGGAACATTCCAAGTGGGGAGGGGGACGAAATGCCTCCGCCTGCCAGTGGGCGGCGCCTAAAACATAAACTGTATAACAATAATCAATCAAGCGAGCCATCAATCAATCAATCAATGGAGCATTTAACCCTTATCCGATTCCATCGCGTCTATCTATTCATAATTCATATTCTTTTTAGCTTACATATCACAAAAAATCCATGGTTTGTCCTTCTGTCGCTCCCCCAACCCACGTACTTCATAAGAGTCCCCCCCCCTCCGATCAAGCTGCTCCTCCTTGTAGATCCATTAAATGCAATTTTGAAACCATTTCCCCAGGGCCGCTCACTGCCAAGAGTTGTCCGCGGCGAGGCTGTGTCCTAAGGCTCCACTGACTGTGTCGCTGGCTGGCTGCGTCGCAATTGTGGCCGTTGTCGTCAAGTAGTTGCCGCCATTCGCCTGCACGGACTCCTGTGACTTGAAGAGTGTTGTGGTCTCGCTCGAATGAAACTCTTCCTCATCCTCATCATCTGGAGCAGCTTCAACCTGTTGCTGTTGCTCCTCCACTGGCTCTGGCTCTGTTACTGCTTCCTGCTTCGCTGACAGACAATCCGAGCGTCGATCTGTGTAGAGAAAGACTTCCATGTGATCCTTGCCCTTGACATAGACACTGCCGCGCGGCTCAAAGTCGTAGCGAGCGGTGAGAAAGGGCAGACAGTCCTTGCCCACCTGGATGCGATTGGGCAGACCCGTGGAGTCCATGCGCGAGGCCACATTGACGGCATCGCCCCAGATGTCATAGTAGAGCTTGCTGGTGCCTATGACGCCCGCCGTGACATCGCCAATGTTCATGCCAATGCGCAGAATGAGATTGAACTCAAGCAGATCCTTGTTGAAGGCATCCACCACCTCCTGCATGGCAATGGAGAACTCCATGAGGGTGTGAATGTGCTCGTCGCCAGTGCCACGATGGGAGGGATCCAGCCCGCTGGCTGCCATGAACGTGGAGCCAATCGTTTTGATTTTCTCCACGGAACGGAACTCCGGGCGGGACAGCAGCTCGTCAAAGTCCCCGATGAGCTCGTTGAGAACGCGCAGGAACTCCTTGCCGCCGAGATAGCTCTCGTCGTACATCTCATTGAAGTTGACAATGGAGGCAAAGATGATGGCAATGTTGTGATGATTCTCCGAGTACTTGGCCGTGTTCTTCAGATGCTCCGCCACATGCTTGGGTATGATGTTGTGCAGCAGCATGTCCGCCTGGTTCTTCATGTTCTGGACACGGACCTTGTCCTGATTGGCCACCGCATTGCCGTAGAACGTCAGCCGATAGCCGATCTCGAACTCGCGATTGAGAAACCAGACCAGCACCAGAATGAGCAGCAGATCCAGATAGATTTCCACGTGATAGTCGTGGAACCATTTGATCTCCTCAAAGATGTACGAGGAGCTGCTCTGTTCCCGCTCCCGCTCCTGCTCCTCCTCGGACTCTGCCTGGTCGCTGCGGCTCGAGTAGACCATCAGCTGGGAGACGGCAATGCCAATGAAGCAGAGCGCGGCCATGAATGCCAGAATGTTGCGCACCCAGCAGTTGAGTTGCGTGAAGTTGCAAAAGTGCACAATGCACACGAAGATGAGGAATCCGTAATGGTACTCGAAGGCCTCCAGCTGCTCGAGGTCCAGCAGCAGGAAGTTGGCAATGATGAGGAGCACGGGCATGGCCATGAGCACCGCGAGGCAGATGTGCCACGGATACCAGCTGGAGATCGCCTCGAATATGCGATCCGCACACGAACGGAACTGCGGACCCGTCCTCCGGCCACCTTCAATGTCTGCATCGCCATCTCCATCTGCATCTCCCTCTCCATCCTGTTCCTTGTGTCCTTCGGCTGCCTCGCTGGCGGTGGACTTGGTGCGCAGGCGGGACCTGCTGCTGCTGCTGTTGGCACGCCCTGTGCCGTGGCGACGGCACATTTGCCGCGTGAACAGGAACAAGGCGAACACCTGGATGGCCGTGAAGCAGGAGAAGAGCGTCACCCACAGGCGGAAGCTCGGCGTCACCGTGTTCTGGGTCATCAGGAAGAGCGACACCGAGATGCACAGGTACACGGCAATGCCCACAAAGATGTCTATGTATGTGTTGTACCTGGGCGTGGCCAGGGTGGGCGGCCCCTCCGTCTCGTTCTCCGCCCCGAAGCGGTGCGCCTTGGAGCGAAAGTCCCGCTCCAGCTGGCGGGACTTGAAGTACAAGCTGAAGCCACGCAGCGGCGGCTTCACGAGGTAGCTCCGCTGGGATCGGGCATTGTCCCGCACGCAGCGAATGAGCTGCAGATCCGATTGCTTGCGCAGTTGCTGCAGGCAGGCGGCCAGCGGATCGCCCATCATCTGCGAGGAGCACGGCTGCATGAGCAGCGGCAGCGGCAGCGGCAGAGGGAGTGGCAGTGGCAGTGGCAGCGGCAGCGGTGGCTGTGACTGCGACACCACCATGGGCAACGGCAGGCCAATGCCCAGCGGCAGGGGCATGGGCAGGGGCAGGCCCTGCATGTCATTCAGATTCGAGATGCTCGAGGTGGAGCTGGTGAAGTAGCCGGAGACGCGGTGCTGACTGATGGCCGACTGGTTGAGCGCGTAGATCTGCTGCTGAATGGAGGATCGCCGCGAGTTGCTCTTGATGCCCGAGTCCTTGCGGGATGTGGCCGATGGGCAGATGCTTGAGTTGCGCGAGTGGCCACCGCCTCCACCTCCACCTCCTGCTGGTGGGGCAGGCAGGCAGCAGGGACTGGGCTGGACATTGGCACTGGTGCTGGAGCTGCTCGGCTCGACTGGCGGCCTGCCCGTGGACAGTGTGTTCGCGCGGGGCCTTGGCAGCGGCGACTGCTCCACGGGCAGCACAGCTGCTCCTCCGCCGCTGGCGGACTGCCTGCCGCACTGACTCCGATAGCTGCCGGAGCGGCCGAAGGGGGAGATGTCGCTGCGCGACTGACTGATGTAGGAGCGCACATCGATGATGTCGTCGTACATGGAGTACTGTCCGGGCGAGCAGCAGCCGCCTGCCCCACCGCTGGTGCCTGCCGCTGCCGCTGAGTATCCTTCGGGGGAGCGCAGCACGCTGCTGGCCAGCGCCGTGGAGGTTGCCGCGTGATGCAGCATGGGCCGCGTTGCGCTCGGTATGTCCAAGGTCTGGTTGCCCAGCCGACTGCCGCTGCAGGACTCCACGAGTATCGGCAGCTGCTGGTACACGCCATTCCCATTCTGTGGCGTGGCTTCCATGAAGGCCAACGTCTCCTCGGGCTGCAGATGGCCATGGGCATCCTCCTGCTCCTTCTCTGGCTGACTTTGAGTGGCGCGAGTGGCCAGCGCCTCGAAGCGCTTGAGGAAGCGCGGCACCTTCCACACCGCCAACAGACGGCTCCTGGCCAGCGGCGGCGGCGGAGGCGGTGGAGGCGGCGGTGGCGGTGGCGGTGGCGGAGTCGTCGGCGAGGCTGGCTGCTCATCGGAGTCGAGGCTGCCGGGCAGGGACTTTGTGGTGATGATTATCTTCGGTCGTTGCCGCACCACCACCACGGGCGGTATGCCGCTGGCCGCCGAATGCATGATGCCAATGCCCCGCTCAATGTCCCGCTCTCGGCTCTGGCTCTGGCTCTGGCTCTGCGACTTCTTGCGCAGCTTCATGCTCAGCGAGGTCAGCCGCGGACGTATGGAGAGCACGGGCGAGGGGTTCAGCGAGTTGGAGAGCTGCCCCACCGGCGACGCGGGCGGCACCTGCGGCTGCACTGCCGAAATGTTGGTCGCACTCTGCGACAGGGAGCCGCCATGGCCGCCGGGCAGCAGCAGGGAGCTGCCGCCAATGGCATTCGCNGGGCGGAGGGGCGGGGGCCCGGGGTCTGCGCCGGTGGCGGGCGGGCGGCGGGGGGCGGGGAGGCGAGCGCCGGCTGCCGCGGCCGCGCGCGCGGGGGGGGGGGGGGGGGGGGGGGGGGGGGGGACAGACAGTTAGCAAAGGACTTTGTGGGCTGCCCAAGTGAAGGAGAGACTCACCGAAGACCTCCTCGCCCTCCTCCAGGTAGTAGTTGTCGCCCAGGAAGCTCGATGTCTCCTGTGAGATGTGCACCTGCTCCGGCTTGCCCGAGGATTCCATTCTGCAAGCAAATAATGGCGAATGATTGACTGCCCAGTTGGCCTGTTGGCCTGTTGGGATACTCACTTGTTGGCCAGACTGACGTCATTGCTCCACACATCGAACTTGACGCGTCGCGTGCCCACAATGCCGCAGAGAACGGTGCCCGTGTGGACGCCGACGCGCATCTTGACGCCCTCGTGGCGCTGGGCGTCGAAGCAGCGCATGGCATCGATCATGCCGAGGCCCATTTCGACGCAGCAGATGGCATGATCGGCACGCGGCTCGGGGCAGCCGGAGACGCAGTAGTAGCAGTCGCCCAGGGTCGAGATTTTCTCGCAGCCGCTGAGGGAGCACAGGTCGTCGAAGCGCTCGAACAGATCGTTGAGAATCTCGACCAGCTGCTCGGCCGTCTTGGTGGAGGACATGCGAGTGAAGCCGACAATGTCCGCGAACAGGATGCTCACGTTCTCCATGCTGTGCATGTGGAAGGGCCGGAACAGGGACTTCACATCGTTGGAGGCGCGCGGCCGCATGTAGTGGGACTCCGGCGGCAGGCCAGAGTCCAGGCCAGCGCTGCCGCCCTCATTGAGCAGCATGTCCGCCACCTTTGGCGGCATCACCGAGTGTATCATCTTCTCCTTCAGCTGCTTCTCCATCTCCAGCTGGCGGCGCACCAGCAGATTCTGTCCGACCTTCATGAAGGTGCCGCGCATGCGCACGAGATTCATGACCAGCACATGGACACCCACCAGGTGGACACTCAGGTGTGCCATGATCCGCAGTATGAGTATCTTGTGGCTGGGATCGCCGCTGGGATCCACCGCCCCCCCATGGATGGCGCTGCACCCGATGACCATGTGGGACACCAGCTCGAAGGCGATCGAGTACGAGATGGCAATCACCGCGCCCACCCACAGCGGCATGGGCAGCGCCGTGTAGATCAGCAGCACAATCTCCAGGCAGATGGCAAAGTGGCCCAGCGGACTGAAGGCCCGCCCCGTGTACGTGAGGAAGGCCAAGGAGGCGCCGCACAGCAGCAGCGCCGTCACCGCCGAGGTCAGTGTGCGATGCTCCCTGTAGAGGTCCCAGTGTGTGAAGCACAGCGCCATGATCGTGATCAGCGAGAGCATTGAGAACGAGCTGGAGATGGGTCGCCAGAAGTCCTCCGAGCCGCCATCCACCACAAAGTACAGGCACCAAGCCAGCGAGCAGAGCAGAATGTACGACAGCGTGAACCTGTGGCGGAGCGTCAAGGAAGTTCAATTAGAGCGGATTGCAATGAAGTCCATTCCCAGCTACAACCTTCCCTAATTATGGCCTGTCACCATGGAGACTTTTTCAGCCATTAAACAACTTGCGCCACTCGAGGGAGCGGCGGGAGGCAGGATTAGCACACGGGCCATTGAGTTGGCTCCCAGTTGATTGTTCAGTTTTTGAATTGCTCTTCACAGTCCCCAGTTCAGTTTGATGAAGCAACAGGCTTTGTCTTCACATGTGCCCAGCTATCCCCAGAAATCTCTATTCGAAAGTGGAACCATTTACCCAGAAAGAGCCTGAGAAGTGAGCTACAGAAATGAGGCATTTGAGTTGCACAAACTCAATCGATAGATGCCGCAGTTGCTCTCTCTCTCTCTCTCTGTCTCTCTGTTCCTCTCTCCTTTTCTCTTGCTTGCTTTCGCCTCACGTGAAACTGCTGCAATTGGCCGCCAAATGGCCCGAAATGGCATTGACCTGCAACGACTGGCAGCCCCACCCGTTGACCCGTGCCAAGCGGGAGCATTTATGGCGCCAACTTCGCCATCCTGCGGCGCAGTTCCCCAACTAATTTGCCCTCGTTTGGCCTTCTCACAGTACCAGTTCCTGCTCCTGCTCCTGCCCCTCTGCACGTGCAATGCAGAGTTGTTCCAGTGGCAGTTTGCATGTCCACGAAACAGCGGGGAGTAACTATCCAGCCAGCAATCAGCCCACAGAGGGTCACTGAACTGGGCAACCAAATGGGAGGCTCTCAGATCATCCCGCTGCCCAAGACTCACACTCACCTGTATCTCATGCGCACATGTGGAAAGACACTGGCCTGGTACTGCTCCTCGAGCACGGGTGAGTCGAATTTCGGATCCAGCCAGGACTTGGCGGCGGCACGCTCGAAGGCCACCGGCAGCATGACGCTGCAGCACGAGTGCCGGCGACCGGTCTGGCTCAGATACGTTTGGATGTGTGGTGCCAGTGCGATTTGTATGTCATCGGTGGAATTGGCACGGCTATCGTTGACTAGCACGCCCGGGGGCATGGCCCGTAAGTTCACCGACTGGCGGCGTGACTGCAATGGAGAGAAACCAAACAAAATGAAGGCATGCCAAATGTCAAACAAAAACATATTCAAAGGGTTCTTTTTGGTTGCTCTTGCTGACTTTTATTTGACTATCACTAACGTTTGTGGCGGGCCGAAGTCACGCGACAGCAGCGGCCTCTAATTCCTGCCAATCTTATCTCAGCCAGCAAGTCAGCAGCCAAAGTGCAGTGCAAAAGTTTGCCAACTGAATTCCAATTCCAAGCCACCAACTGATTTGCGTGTCATTCATTAGGAAGCTGCTAACAAATCGAGCCAAAAATAGACAGCCCACAAATGTTGGGCCAGTTCGAAGCTGGAAGTACCCTAAGACCCAGTCAAACGCCCGACGTTCATTTCCACACACAAAACTTTGCTTGGTGAAAAGGGTTTTGCGGGGTTTCTGTGGCCCGAGTCTTCATTTGCTAAATGCCTGCTGGTTGCCTACCAAAAATCAATGCCCAAAGGTATCCTAGCTGTGGGGCGAACATTTCACGAATATTTTTATGGCCGGGGAGTTTTACACTGAATTTCGCACTCAGAGTTGAGGCATTTTTTGTTGGGGCACAGCACGGCGCACAAATCGAATTGAATTGCTTTTACTTGATTGGGATTTGATTTGATTTATTGTAATTTGAAGCCACAGCAGCGACGATACAAACAAAAAAAGGGTTCAACGCTTCCAAAACGATTGCCGTTGGACACGACGCGACGCGACGCGATGTTGGGAACTGATTTGAATTCTGGTTCGGGGATTGTCGATTGGCTCTCGATCGCCAACAGCTGACAGCGGAATGGCAGAGAGGGAAGACCAGCAACAGTGAATGCAAAGAACGCGCCAGCTTATCGCGCCACTCTGATAAGGCCGCCAGGTGAGCGACAGCGAGAGAGCGAGAGAGAGCAGCGATAAAGATCGCTGGCTATCGGCAAGTCGCTTGGGATCGATGTCAGTCGCTGGTCAAGTGGCCAAGGACATTGCGACCAGCCTCAACCTATGAGATTCTCTCTGCCACTCTCTTCCCCCTCTCACTCTCTCTCTCTCTCTCTCTTTCTATCTGTGGGAGGTAAATTTTAATAGAATATAAATAGCGCTGGCCTGGCCTGGCATGGTTATTCCGGCAGTCGTAAGATAAGATAAGAGGCGCCCCCAGACACACTCCTTCCCCCCCCCCGCCCGAAATGTGAGTGCTGCGAGCGCGGGCAGAGGCCAGCGCCTTGAACTCTTTGCACCAGAGTGCACACCCACGCACAGGGCCACTCGTTCATTCGCACTCGCCCACTCGCCTACTCGCCCATTTGTGTACTTGTTTGTTGTGAGGCTTTCAGATTTTCTTTGATGGGATTAACTTTGTATGTCGCCCCCCTGCGAACGTCCTTTGCTCGACCACAGCGTAATCTCCCAATTAAATTGCACTCGTAATGTGCTGTCCACTCCCCCCCCAAAGAACGGCGAACTTCTATTTATATGCACGGAGCCAACTCCTCGCTTGCATAATGCATTTGAGTGGCAGCCTGGGACAGGAAATTGGAATTTAGCAGCTCTTTCTGTCTCTCCCTCTCTGTCTCTGCCGCATTAAATATTTGTTTAATTAAACTCTCGCCAGTCACATCGATGCGGGCAGAGGCAGGCACTGGGACAGCTGGCAGAGCGGCAAAAGTGTTAAGAAGTTTTTGAATATTAATTAGCAGGGCAGGCAAAGCACAGGGAAAAACTGAGGCAACTCGAGCCAGTTCTTATCAGCGAAAGCTGATAGCTTTTGGGCCAAAACACGCTGGGTGGACAGCAGCGGGGCAAGGGGTAGATTTCTACGGACAGTGGAAGTGTCGAAGAGATCTCAGGGGATTCATTCTGTAATCTTCAGGCGCTGAATGTGCCCAATATCCGGCAGCGAGCGCAGATCGATCGATGCAAGCGTTCAAAGCTGATAGCGAGAGCATAAGCAGCGCGGTACAGTGCCCATCAGCGAGTGTAGTGCAGCGAGTAAATGCATAACGAGAGGGCAAATGTTTAATTTTTAATACACGTGCTGGATAATCGGAGCTGCGCCCTTGACTCTACTCTAATTGATTCAGACTAATTGATGGCCGTGATCCGGGTGCCACGGGTGAATAGCAACGAGTAGAGGAGCGAGGAGGAGAGGAAGGAGCAGTAGAAGCTGATTCATAACGGGCAGGAAGGCAGAGTAGTATTACAATTGGGCAAGTCCTGCGGCGCCCCCGAAGTATTCCCTCGTTCGGTTCACATCTGACGAGTGGCCAGTGCACCGCTCTGTCCTGTTCGCTCCAAATATGATTAACTGACGAAATTGCGATGCGTAGCGGCAGAGAGCGAGCTTTGGCTGTGCGTTGCGCCTGTCGATGCGTTGTTGTTGAAGTGACTCCTCTGGCCGCTTGTTGTCCTCGCCACTCCGAGGGCCACTCACATGTCCACGCCCCCTACCCTTACTCCTTCCCCCTTCCCTTCCGCCGTACCCAGACAGCAGTGACTGATGGTCCTCCAGAAGTGCGGATGCGGATGGGCATGGGCATCTGTCATTGTGTGTGCTGCGTGTGTGTGTGTGTGTGTGCATTGCAGTGACGCCAAAGTGTAAATAAGCACTTAAATTTTTAATGAATATATGTACATGGGGCTGCAACCGCATGGTCAGCGGTTAACCCTTGACTGGGCGTGGCACGGGCTGGGTGCAGAGTGTGCCCAGAGTGTCGCCCAAAATGCAATCAAACCAAAAGGCATTAAAGCTGTCCGACCAGCGGCCACTGAGTGCCAGCAGAGTTGACGCGCCAGCAATGGGATCCTCTTTGCTCGCATTCGAAATGCACAAAGATGCCAAATAACAATAACAACTGCACGGCCGATTGCTACACGCACACACAAGAGCAGACTTGGCCGAAGCGTCGCGTCGTGGGTGGCGAAAAGGGAAGCAGCAGCGAAGGCGAAAAGAAGAAGGAGGAAGGGGGAGGGAGCAGAAGCTCATAGAAACTGCGACTGCGACTGCGACTGCGACTGCGACAGCGAATACGAATGCGAATGTATAATGCATAAAACGAAATATAATCAAGTCAAATACTTGTACTGCACACATATTTACATACCACCATGGAGAACTTGAACACTTTTTTGGGCAAAAATTCATAGCTTGCAAAAGGGACACAATATTTTGTTGCTGAAATTAGTTGATGCCAGCAAGAGGAGGGTATTTTGATAAACGCATTTTGATTGTATTATTAAATTATAGCAAACAAAAATGTTAAACATACAAAATAATTGTGTTCCCAAAAAGTGACCAAATAGCCCATGGTGCATACATAAGTACTCTTATGCACGCACAGCCTCAAGCAGAGTGTGGGGGAGGGAGAGGGCGGGGAGCACACGCACACAATTACACAGCTCGTCGCATGTGTAAGCCGAAAATCCGCTGGCAACAATTGTGATAAAATAAGAGTGTGGCGAGGGTGCTCCCCAGGGACAGCTCCTTGGGGGAAAAGCCTCCTCAACATTATAATCATACGCCGCAGCACACACACACAACAGCCCCGCCCACCTCTTGGCAGACAGATCAATGCGAAGGCGAATCAATAGAAGAATGTCAAGGAATAAGCAGGGGAAAACTAGTTAATTGATCAATCGGTAAAGCCCCAGAGAGAGATGGGGAAATTCCCTTACTCAACGCGCAGTTTCTGCAAATTATAATACAAATATTTTGCCAATGATTTCGTAACCAAAATCCCAATCAATATCCGGTGGCGAGGGGGTAAAAAAATGATATCAGGCTCAGAGACAGGCAATTGCACGTTGTATGTGTGTGTGGGTGGGTGGGTGGGTGGGTGGGTGGTATAAAAGCCCATGGAAAATCAAGCGAAAAGCAATTTAAAAGGACATTGACGCGCAGTGGCAAGGACAACAGCAGGCAAGCAGGCAGCTTGGAGCAAAAGAAAAGCCAAGCTGATCAGAGAGCAAGACAGAGCCGCACATCCCCAACCCACATAATCTTTCGTCAAGTCGAAGCTTTACCCTCGCAAAGACAATGGAAAATCGCTGGCTGCAAGGGAGGGCAGCGAAATGTCGTTTGCTGTAATGAATTTTAAGATATTTACGACTACAGGTACAAGCTTTGGAATGTCAAGCTGCCAGCCAGTTCCCTTGAGCAATGCAAAAGGCAAGCTCTGGAATGGCGAGGATTTGCGGGGAATGTTGCACCCAAAATGGCATCCAAATTTGAAACGAAAAGTATGCCATGGAAAGTGTGCAGCCAATGAAGCGCAGCAACGCGCAAAATGGCAAAATGGTTGATGAAGGCAGATTATGGCATCTCCGTCTGACGTCAAGAGCACATTGCTTCCTTCCTTCTTCATGTGTGGCAAGTGTCTCCCCCTTGCCGCCTTTCCCTTTTGTACATATTTTACACTCCTCCTCCGGCTGTGCCCATGCCTTGGCCATTTTTTCCCATCACGTTGTCATCAATTTATTTCGCTGCCTCTGCTGCTGCATCTCCTTTGAGTTTTACGTTTAATGCACTTTTGGATATGAGCTTAAAAGCCGTGTTAGCCGGAACACCCCGCTTTTGTCATTTTTTGTCTTGCGTTTCCCCGTTGGGCCAAGCACTTAAGATACCCATCGAAAAATGTAACATTTGCCCGGTGAGGATCGTTTGGAATGGCGTTCAGTTTGGCACAGCAAAGGCTCCCCCTTTAGTCTACTAAAGACTACTCCCAGCTGCCTCACTGGTCATTCCCCTAGTCTCTGGTGCAGTTTATCCGTTAAATATGCATCCCAGTAGATGCCCCTCAAAGGTCTTGCTCTTATCCTGCCACCTGGCATCGCTGCACAGGGTATTCCTCCTTCCGTATTCCCGTGTCGCCAGCAAACTCTTTCGCGCCTTAATCAAATTAGTTTAACATTTTTTTTCGAACACTTTTTTGCCATTATTCAGAGTGCATTTCGGGCGTAGGGAAATTGAGTTTGTTGACACGCAGCATTCAATTAGCATTGA